TCAGTCATGGCCGTTATATTCTCCTCTTCTGGAACTAATCATTGGTTCATCTAAGAGGCACATGTACAAATGTGTCAAAGGATATAACGACTGTCCAACATGATTTAACAGATGGTTTGCAGGTAGAAAAGGATAAATACAAAAACCATTCAAAACAAGGCATGCATCACACTATGTCACAATGTGTGAAAGAAACACTGTATTTATATTACCGTGTTCGTCCTCATCTCCACCTTGAGTAGTGAAGAACGGAGTGAGGTAGTTCCTATCCAATGCCGAAAATGATGCAGTGCTACAAGACAACCCCGCAAATGACAGGTGAGACACAGAGAGAAAAGGCTAAGAATCCCAAAATTAGGGGAAGAAAAAGTCAGTTAAAATTTCAACTACCTTTTGTGAAACTCCTTCAGCTTCATTTTCAGCCTATTTCCTGAGGACGATTCCCCTTCATATAATGGAGCAACATAGCCATTGTTCCCCTCAAAGCTCTGAATCTAAAATATACTCAGAGGTAAAAGATATGGTTTATTAGGAGTGCCACTAAGTAGCTCATTTCTACTAGATTGAAATTTGTAGGTATAAAGCTTGGCAGATATCCTTCTTGGATGTAATTTTTATGCAGAAGATGCTCAGTATCAATGTGCAAATGAATTCCATTTTCGGACTCTATAATGATTATGAAAACCAGGAAAACTGCTTGGGTATGGAATGCAATATCCACAGTGCAGAAGAAAGATGCATGACCAACTGGAAATTTTATCCAAAACCATGAAATGAGAACTGCGCTATATCAAAGAACATGTCATAGTATAATAGGCAAGCTTACATCCCCAAACGACACATCATGTCCATCGCCTACAACCTGGAGAGCTTCCAACATTGTTCCTGTTGATCCTCCTATCAGCAGGACCTGTAGAGTTTCAACAGATTAGATGTACAAAATTAATCTATAGCTTTAGTTCGACTGGAGGATACTAAAACAATTCCGAGCAACATCCGGCTACCTTCACACAGCTTAAAAATGGTTGACATTCACTATATTCTCCTAGAAGAAAGAATTGCTACAATATACACTAATGGTATTTATAGATCACAACATAAGTTAGATATATTATTCAACTCAAAATAGTTTGACATATTAATTGTTGCAAGTTAAACCACAACATTCAGCAGTCCCAAACAAACTACACCATGCATTTCCCCAGCCATTATATTAGCACGGCTGCAGTCTGCACAAACCTATACGACATGGTCTATCTAACACTTAAAAGGCGAATGGGAAGACAAATAACCAAAATAGGGCACGCTGCAGTATTTGGTATTTACGGGCCACATTGCTCAACAGAGTGAATGCGTAGCACAGTTAAACTAGATAATGAGCCTCCTATATTCAAAATGTTGGCAATTCAAGACTTCTTTTGCGAGCTCGTCTTCTTCCACACATAAAAGACTTATTATTGGCATTACCGCACACCTACAGGTATCTAAATCAGATACACAATCAACTTGTAAAAGTTCAGTACTATACCGTTAAAACAACAATGGCAGTGGTAGCAGTAAATATTGTCTGACCATGACCTTCTGGAAGATCATGAACTGATTGCAAAGCAAGTGCAAAGGCCATAGCACCTCGAAGCCCTTCCAAAAGTAGTGTATATCAGATCAATTAGTGTTCGGACAGTAAGTACAACACTGGCAAAGTGAAAAACTTAATCACTGCTTACCACTGTACCATAGTGCCTTTTGATGTTTAAATGGAATTTTGCGATGTGTTGGCCTAACCAAATTTATCAAATATGCACAGCCAAACACGTTGGCAGCTCTTAAGAAACACAGAGAAATTGAGTTAGAAAATAGAAACCCATTTACAAGTAACCTAAATCAAACGCAGCCGACAAGTAAGCAAAGGCCACAAGAGGATAATCATGTATTGAAACTAGAAACTAGAAAACAATGTTCAGGGTCCGCTCCAAGCTAAGCTAGAAATGAACAAATTCTATCACGTTCAGATTCCAAAAAGATCAGAGCACAAATCTTTTTGCTTAAATGTATGATGAATATATTCTCATTTCTAAAGGGAAAAAACAGGAACAACCACTGAAAATTTACTTCAACCTGCAGGAGCTGAGCTCAACATACCTTGCGATTACTATGAATAACTGAGCCAAAAATTAAAGTTAAGGAATTTTACCAAAAATTTTGGATTCCAATTTCAAATAAGTAATACGAAAAAGATTCACCAACAAAAGGATACAATTGAGAAAAATATAAATCCAACATGTGACCAGCTATGTTGTTCCATTGCAATATCAAATCCCATGTATATAAATCTGCACGATAGAGACGGTTATTCAAGAAAAATGAAATGAAGTTTCCCTTAGCAGTGATAAGAAAATAAACCCTTACACAAATGTCTCAGCCAATGAAGAGATCAGGTGGAAAAAGGCCGAGACAAATCGCTGTGAATTGTCAGACAAGTTTGAGAATGTATAGTGCTTCATAACCTAAGGGAAGATAAAAATAGCATCCTCATTTTAATAAATAACAAGAAAAAGGAGAATAAGGGTAAATAATGTAAAGCCTCTCACTTACGATTCCAGTGAACAGTATCGACACAATGCCAGAGAGTCCAAGTCCTTCTGCTAGCATGTAACTTCAGAAGAAGAATGCAGATCATCAGGGAAACAGTATTTTAATACGGAAAAGAAACATAAACTACAAAACTCAGAGAATGGAAGGGAAGCAGCTTACGAGAAATAGGGGAAGAGGACAAATAGACAGCATTCCAAGTTTTGAAGACTACAAAACATCAAAGGGGGGTTATCAACAAATTGTTTCACCGGATCTGCAAGTACAAAAGGTCAGACAGATAGCCGAACTCACTTGTCAATATCAAGACCAGCATATTTAAAGAGGTGCGGATTAAGTTAAGGCTTGAAAGCAAATAACTAGAACAGGAAGATTTAGGTTCAAACACAGTGACAATGGACGAAGGGAAATTAGAAGAATAATACTAAGAAATAAACGAAGGATATCAGCGCCGAGGTAAATCCAACTCCAACACCTAAGGAAATCGAAGCGAAAATTAGTGCCACAAAATTATGTCATCTCTCAAGCATGTTGTCAAACTCATTTAGCGAATAAATTCACAAAAGGACAGAAGTATATAATTCTATTACACAAAGTAAGTGAAGAACCTGACGACATAGAGCCAACAAAGGTTTCAAGAAATCTGACTATGACCATGAAGAAGTTCTGCTCAGAAGAAATATGGCTTCTTACTAATGACATAGTCCTGGCAAAATGTCATAGATAAAGACTAATGACAATCGCAATAATTTAATATTGGGGCAAAAAAGGGAAAAAAGAAAGGGAAGCTGGCTCCTACCTGTACAACGAGATCGCCATCTTCGAATTGCATCCGCCACAAAAGAAATAATCACATAAGTTACAGTAACCCAGCGTAAACATCCAAAAATTGATAACACAATACAACAAGTGACAAATATATATCCCCCTAAAAGTAAGAGAATCCAAAGGAAATGGCATGTTGAAGGTATCAAACTTACCGCATCATTCAAAACAGACTCCCCAAAGACCAGAGCATAAAGATTCATGTCAGTGCCAAGCTCCTAAAACAAAGCATATTGGCGGTCAATACTGTTCAACAAATACAAAAAGAACCAATTTGGTAGGTATGCGTATGTCAAATCTTAGTGATGAAGTGAATTTGTGTACAAGAAGAGAGACTAAGCGTGAGAAGAATTTACTGGAAACCAAGGATTAACTTTTTTGAGCTAGAAGAATATTATTAATGACACCAATGGGGTAGATTCAACCCTCTCAAAATAAATTAGCCACATGGAAATGATGTGGCCGCCAAAAAATGATTTTCAAATGAGATAACATATACTCCGTATGTTTATTTATCCGTAAAAGATAAATAAAAGACTGATGAGAATCTTATATATAAAATTATGCAATAAACACCTGAAATATTGAAAGAACAGTGACAGGATCAGTTGCAGATATGAGAGCACCAAACATCAGGCATTCAACAAATGGTAGTCGGTACATAAGATAAATTAAACCACCAAGGTAGCTGCAACAAAGACAATAAGAAAAGATGAGATCACCGAGGATTTTTTGAAAATATGAAGAGAGCATCAACAAAATGAACAGGCATCATGAAGATACTCACACTAGAATCCCAGTAACCATGGAAGCAACAAAGGTCCCTACAATAGCAAAGGTGACGATGGCTCCAAAGTTTGAAAAAAATGGTTTCTGATAATCGTAAGAACACAAAGCAGTTTATCAGAATAAAGAAATGAGATGGTGGGAAAAATGAAGATGAATTAAGAAAGGCAGCCGGATAAGGGACTTACTGGCTGTAAACTGAATCCCGATTGAGTAAAGCCACATATAGTCAAGAAAAGCAACACGCGCGCCGGGGATAGACAATGGAGTTGCCAACATCAAAATGCTAGAAATTAAAAATGACTCTCTCTTAAAAAGGATATAAGATTATAGGAGGCAACAGAAACAAGAAGAAGAATTCCTCGTGGAAGTTAAACCATGCCCTGCAAAGTGCCAAGCCGTAAGAAAATCTCAAGAATTAAAGAAATGGGGGAAAGAATTAAGACCAATAGCGTAAGACACGATGCCGAGCTCACCTGATGTTGGTTTCAGTATCTGAGATATTAGCCAATACCCCAACGATCAAACCTGTGGGAAAATTAAGGAATGGTTAGATATCTGTGCGAGGTATAAAGGGATGAGTCTGAGTCCGACGCCAAAGTAAATAAAACAGTAAAATGTAGTCGCACCAATCAATAGGGATGCACTGGCTTCCGGAAGGTAATAGAAACGGTGACGCCGAAGGACGTGGCCAAGAACGAAAGAGAGCACTAGCATCATGATCTGAAGAAGAATTCCAACTCCAGCAGCCTGCTGTTCTTTACCTGGACTCGCCCGGGAATCGGCCGGGGATATCTGCAGCTCCTCCATGCTACTATTACCCATTGATTTTCCCCTCACCCTCCAAGACGGGTTTGGGGGTTTTTTATTTTCTTTCTTTTCTTTTCTTTTGAGACGCAACTCACTGATGATCACTTCACCAAAAATCAGCCAGGTGCCGAATTCCCAAATGTTTGATCTCTGTACTCTGATCGGAATTCTAATGTCACAATTTTCCACTGCCTCAGATGTACACAACTGGAAAATTCTCCGGGAAACGACAGCGTTTCGGTTGTTGATGTGTGTGTGTGGGGAGGAGTTTTTTTTTTTTTTTTTTTTTTGTTGCAATGATCGAGAATTGTAATGGAGTAATGGAGGGATATTGGGCCGTCAGTAGTCAGCCCAATGGACATTGTAGTAGTTGGCCCACTGGACATAGGGAACTGTAGGAGAAGGAATTAAATAGCGGCCTTGGAGAACGAAAAGGAAAGATGGTGAATGCTTATCATCCTCTCCTCCGCCAATAAGGAAGGTGGGAGAGAGAGAACAAATGGCATTAGTCCCTCTTCTTCATTGTTGGCCAATCCCCTCAGACCCCATTCGAATTCTCCAGAAGCGCCGGCCAACTGCTAATTATCTTGCCATACAAACCACGCAAGGCCAGTCCCTAAGTACCGCTTCTGCTTCTCAGTCGGATGTTCGACGCCTCGTGTTACTTCGTCATGCCGAAAGTTCTTGGCATAATCGTTCCCTTCGAGGTAACTCCCTTCTAATTGCGTCTCCTAATTTCAATTTCATTGAGATGGATAGGCTGAATTTATATGAATTAGATGGCGAATGTTGCGTACTTGTGTCGTGTTGCACCCAATTGTATAGATTTAAGGGTTCTTGGACTACACATCATAGTCTTGCAGTGTTTCGGACTGGCTCTCTCCCCTTCAAGTCTAATAATATATACTTTGTGATTTTTATTCTAATTCTTTGTGGGTTTTTTTCCCCTTTCTCTCCACCGGAAGATCATGATAGACCGTTGAGTGATACTGGTCAGAAAGATGCAGTCAAGGTCTCCCAGAAGCTCCAACTGCTGGGATGGATTCCTCAACTAATCATTTCAAGGTCTGTTTGTCTCTTATCACTGTCACTATTATATAAGCATGTCAGAATTGGTAAATGTATTTGTTGTTGTATTTTGGACTCGTGTATATATCCCCTTTACCATTGAATTAGTGTAGTGACGCCCGGCGAACTAGGGAAACGCTAAAGATTATGCAGGAGGAAGTTGAAGGTTTTCTGGAAGCGGAGGTACATTTCCTTTCCAGCTTTTATTCTGTGGCAGCAATGGATGGGCAGACCGCAGAGCATCTTCAACGAGCCATTTGTGAATACGCTAGAGATGAGATACTAACTGTCATGTGAGAGTCTTTTGTTGCAGAAGCTTTGCACTGATCTGTGTACTTGGGTGTGTTTTGTGTTCCATTGTCACCCCTAGAGTGTTTCCATTTTTTAAAATTTTGATATTTGTTTTTGTAATTTGATGGATTGGGTGTTGTAGGTGCATGGGACATAACAGGGGATGGGAGGAGGCAGCATCAATGCTCTGTGGTGCGTCGGTGGAACTCAAGACTTGTAATGCTGCTCTGCTTCAAGCTGATGGAAAATCATGGGAAGAAGTAAGAAAGCTTTGTTGCATATATACATATATAATCTGCATCTAGGCGTCGATCCCACCATTTTCACTATAGTCTGACTTCTTCCTTGTTCTGTTGTGGGGTTTGGGGTTTGTAGGCATTTTCTTTGGCAGGATTTGGTGGATGGAAGCTTCAGGGCATAGTAAAACCAGATGGCGGTCTTTAGAATTTCGCTATTCCTTTTACATTAGTTACTCCTGGCAATCTCATTCCAAATTTCCAGTTGTAGTTACTGGGTGCTAAGCTGGGTTGGATGAGGGTAGATATCGCATGTCTGCCGGAAGGAAAACACGATTGAGCCGAAGAATTGAATGCGCACTGTCACACGGTGCTTTCAAATGGCAAAGCTGGATGTGTTCTTTGGTGGTGTGGGAGAGTTTGCAGATTGGTAGACTTAAAAATCAAAATAAAAAAAGTTCTCCTCCAGATCTCTGGAGAGTATTATGGAAATATCAAGGGCTTGTTGCCCAACACTTATTCGGCATTTTTATTTCATTTTACTTCTTAAAATATCTCTCAAATACAAATTCTAATACTATTCAAACAACTTTTTTATTTATTTTTTAAAAAATATTCTAAAAATTATTTTTATACAATTTTCATCCACGACCATCCGTCGCCACCGGACCGCCCACCGTCGGCCGGTGACCGGTCGGCCGGAATCTTTCTGGCGGCAGTGGGTGGTCCTGCAGCGGCCCCAGTGGTGGAGGTGGTCCGATGGTGGTCTAAAAGTATTACTCCCTCCATTCTAAAATAGATGTCGTTAGAGGAAAATTTATTTTTTTCAAAATATATGTCGTTTTTGCATTTCGAAGCATGTTTGGTCAATTTCTTCCAACATTACTCCTACATGGGAAATTGTAATTGTGTTTAAAGTAAAAGTATATTAAAACTAAATAATATTGGAAATAGGATTTCATTGAAAGTAAATGAGGGTAGATTAGTATTTAACGAAGTATTTATTATGTTCTTAAATTTTGTGCAACTCCTCCAACGACATCTATTTTAGAATGGAGAGAGTATTAGTTTATTTAAAATATCACTCAAACAATTTTTTAAATTTTATCTCAAACCACATTTTAAATCACATTTCAAACCCATTGTAGGTAAAATTGTGCAGCAGACACATAAATAGGGCAAAATTATAATTTTACCGAAAAAGTTAGCACAAAATTATTGCTATTGTTGCTATTAATTATGGGTGCTGAGGTAATATTTCTCAAAAGCTTTAGGGGCTAAATCATTGCATTTAAGTATTTTCTCCACTCCTTTAAATGTAATTTGAATTAAACATAATTATCTCTAAACAATCATTGGGACGGAGAGAGAAAAAAATGCACAGCTCTAATATGGGTCGGAGTACAAACGGGCACAACAGTTTATATTCCCACATAGCTACAAAATTGAGACCTTATGGCTTGCTGATTTATCAAACCCTCAACTAACCTGCAAATTCACAAAATCAATCAACTTAGGTCCAACTTTAGAAGCCACTGGTTGACCCTTTTCATAGTTTACCTATTTAATATTTAACTAGATGGAATAAACGCGCTTTGCACGTAAGTAAATATTTTTCAAAATTTAGTGTAACTCTACTATAATATTCTAACTCTAGGAAAAAAAAAATAACATACATATACAAAATGAACAATAGAATACAATCAAATTTCCCAATAAAGAAAAAAGAATAGAAGAAAGAAAAATCTAAACTTAAAGTTTCATAAGAAAAGAGTAAAAATAATGGTGATTTCAATGAATTTGGGGATGAAAAAGCAATCGAGAGCATAGGGTGAACACTCGTAAGAAAGAAAAAGATAAATGTGTCAAAACTCTTATTTTTGAGAATTATATATATCGACAAATTCAAAAAGATACGAAACTGTTAGTATTCTATTTGAGTTATAGAATAATTTGTTTAAATTCTCACTAATGAAATCTTAAAATTCAAAGAAGAGAAGAATAAAAGACATATGAAAAATTTAAAGCTAGAAAAATGCTCTAGTTGAAATCAAGGCACATTAATTCATTCTAAATTTTCTAAAATAAAAATAAAAGAGAAATTAATGGAAGAAAATCAAAGATCAAAACATTAAAAGAATAGAAAACGTAACATATAAAATCTTTTCATTTTCTTGGGATAAAGAGAAGGAAAAAAACTCCTAACTAATAAAGAACATTAATTTGTTCATAATCTTTAATATAAAAATAAAAGAACAAACTAATGGAAGGAGATAAAAGGTCATAACATCAAATGACCAAATATAACACATAAAGTCTTTTTATTTTCTTGGTTAAAAAAGAGGGGGCAAAAAAGATTCCTAGTCAATAGTGAAAAAAGACTACTAATGAATTAATTTGTTCTAATGGTCTTTAAAATAAAATAAAAGAGAAAATCAATTGAAGGATATCAAAGGTCATAACATTAAAGGAATATGAAATGTAACACATATAATCTTTTCATTTTCTTGGTTTAATAAAGTGGAAAAAGTCCTAGTTATTAATACTCCCCAACTCAAATTTATTTATAATATTTAAAATAGAAATAAAATAATAAATTAATAGAAAGAGATAAAAGGTCATAACATGAAATGACCAAATGTGACACATAAAGTCTCTTCATTTTCTTGTTTAAAAAAGAGACGGTTTTGAAAAGTTTAAAAAAAAAAAATCTTAGTTAATAATTAAAAGAGACTACTAATGAATTAATTTTTTCATATTTAGTCCTTAAAATAAAAATAAAAGAAAAAATCAATGGAAGAAGATAAAAAGTCATAACATTAAAGGAATATCAAACGTAACACGTACAATCTTTTCATTTTCTTAATTAAAAAAGGTGAAAAAAGTCCTCGTGATTAATACCTAAAAAGTACTACCAAACTCAAATTTACACTAAGCAATTATAATATATGTTGATAATTCACGAGAATGCAATTTTTTTTAATACTTTTATAGCATTAAAGTAGAATAGAAGTGAATAATGTACGGATATAGTGATGTACTAATTATATTTTTTTAAAAAAAATATTGAACAGCCAGCGAGAATCGATTCATCCTTGAATATCGAAATATCCTCGGAGTCGTTGGTTGTTTTGGCGAGTTATAGGTAGAACAAGAGCAATCTAGTTGCCGTAATTTGAAACAAGTTTCCGCGTTATAGAATCGCACTCTGTTATCCCGAAAGAATTCATATAAAAAAAGTCTTGCTGGTTTTGTTATCACTAATGGTCCTTTCCTTTGAGGTATAGTTTTTAGATGATGGAAATTGTTGTTGCCATACAAAGGAGAGGATACTCTATTGCTCACATTTACAAAGAGACAAATTCTGTTGCAGATAGACTAGCTAGCATGGCACCACATGGCTCATCTGTTTTATTTGATTCATATGTTATTCTGCCTAGTTATGTAAAAGGGTTCTTAAAATTTGATTAGGGGTCCTATTCATATTTGCGTAGAATTTTTTTTTTTTTGGTAAACTGTACTCGGTAATTGTACCATAGTAAGTCCATAAGCACTGCCCAAATTTTAAGGTTTGGGATGGAATAAATTTGGGATTCACTGGTAAGGGATAGAATGGTTACAATCTTTATCTTAAAGGTATATCCTCTTAATGTATTGTGCCTTTCTATTTCTAGTTTATCGTTATCTCTTTTTCTTAAAAAAAAAAAAAAACAATTAAGGTATCAATATTTGGATAAAACCAAAAAAATTATTAGCTTTTATAGAAAATTATTTGCGTCGACTTTTTTGTAGACCTTTATGAGTCAATGAAGCAGTCGGCTATATCCATAATATATGGTTTGCTATCATTTTCAATAATTTATTTATCCTTTTATCATTTTTAAGCAATAAATATATGGATTCACTATAGAAGATATAAAATATTGACTATTTCATTAAATTTGCTTGTCCACTTATTCACTTATTCAACAACTTTGACGGGTACGATTCATGGAAAAAGTCAACAAAAGCTAAACTCCATTATGTATTATGATTTTACTATAATATTCAATCAATTAAGATGCCAATATTTCAATAAAACTCAAACCATTATTTGTTTTTTATGAAAATTAATGGCATCGACTTATTCGTCTATCTTGCCAAGTCGATGAAAAAGTCGTCAAGGTCTAAAATATATGGTTTTCTATCATTTTCAATTTTTTCTTTATTCTTTTATAGTTTCTAAGAAATAAATTTATGAATTCACTCTAGAATATATAAAATATTTACTATTTGTAGAAATTATTTTGTCACTTATTCGTCTATTCAACAATTTTGACGGGAAGGGTTCACAGAAAAACTCAAAGAAAGCTAAACGGCATTATTTATTACGATTTTCAAATATTATACATGGCACTATATTATTTAACTAATTAAGGTATTAATATTAAAATAAAACTCAAAAAAATTATTTGGTTTTTTTTTTTGAAAATTAATTGCGTCAACTTTTCCGTCAACCTTGTTAAGTCGACGAAAAAGTCAACAATGCCCATTTTTTTAGAATAATTTTTTAGGAGGGACAATTTTACATATTTATGCCAAATCCTTCTATTATTAAGTACGGCCGGTACCATTTCAATGTATTTCGATTTTTTCGAACAAGAGAGGTTTGATGCTTTTGAATTCATTGTATTAATTCCACTTTCTACTCGCAGTATGCTCATTATGAACTCTCGACTTAACTCAAACCATTACAGATGTATATGAAAATTGATGTATGCATATGAAGTCAATTAAAAAAATTGTTAAAAAATACCTTTGTACTTCTAAGAAACTTTTTATGATTTTTTTTTAAATTATAATAAATCAAATAAGCATTCCTAGATATAAAATTCACTTTTGTAACACCAACTACCGCTCCCTTGGTCACTGAAGTCATAAAAGACCAAAATTAACTCTTTGCCTTAAGTGTTTATTGTTTCCGCTTTTAGCGATAACTAGTTTGGATCATACGCTTGAAGCGCATACCCTATGTACGATGTAATTTAAAGAGTGTATAATATAAAAAAGGCAAAAATAAATCATAGAAAAAGTTTTCACATTTTATAAATCATGATAATTGTAGAACAATTTTTTAGAAGAGATCAATCTTTTAAGCACTGATAAGGAAATTCAATAACCAATTTACACACATATGTAGAATTACACATTAACAAAAACAAATTTACATGAAGCAGAAATGAAATTACATGTTTTCATAATCTATATTAATTTCATTAGAAATCACATACAACATATTTATAAAAGATAATCTAAACACAAAATTATCCCCTAAAACAGATTATTTCTACTAACGAAAGCCACACAAAATACTAACAGAAGAAACATTGTACACCTGGATAATAAAAATCTAAAATACAATAAGGTTAACTTTATCATTCTAAAGTAACCCTACAAAAAGAGAAAAAAATGTGAAGTATAAATTAATCAACTATTACCTTTCATGGTGGGAGAACGAAGGATCACTTGGGGTGAGAGTGGGCCGATTTGGAGGAAAAAGAAAATAGAGTAATGGCCAATGCATTAGTCGTATCTTGGACATTGCACTTTATGTGCTTATTTAAAGAAAAATCCATCAATAAATTTGCAACGAAACACTTATTCTCTTTTAAGTTTTTCTTAATTTTAATAAATTATTAAAACTATTAAATTCATCACTAAATTCATTTGATTTTAAGGTTAAGAATTTGAAGAGATTGGCCATGAACAATCTTTGATTGGCTTTAATTATAATAATCACATGTAATTAATTAATATTAATTAAAATTAATTCATTTTCTCTTCTTAATCAGTTACTCAAAGAACTACATCAAAACTTTGTCCAAACTCACTTTTTATATATATATGGTAGATAGTAGATGAGGGAGGAGTGGTTGGTTTTAGAGGTTTAGAAATGATATTTAATTTTATTAGAATTTGAAGGAAAAAAAATCGTAGAGGGTTTCTTGGGGTACTTTAGCAGTTTCAACACTTTTTTTTTGGCTGAATTCAATTGCATACATCAATTTTCAGTTGTTGGAGGACGCTTTTGATAATTGACTTGCTTGGTCAAGGGGTGTTTTTGATGTTTCTTTAAACATTGAGTGTGTTTTAGATAACAGAAACTCTGGGGGTGTTTTTGATATTAATCGTACAATTTACTTATTTACTTACTTATACTTTTCTACAGTTCTACTTACTACCAGTCTACCACTGTGGAGTATATATTATATTAATTTATTATTGTAAACCGGAGCAGAAGTTGCAGTTGGAGGAGGACAGGCCATTTGAGTAGTAGTAGAACTAGATCCTAATTGGTTCTTTTGTAGCCATATGAATTAGCAGCCTTACTCCCAGCTTCCACAACTACCTAAACCATTGTCGGAAGTCGGAGCAGGGGTTTCCGCTTCTTCCTAGTTCCTTCTCTCCATTCGATGTACAGCAATCCCATCTGGCATCTATTCAGAACTTTTTCTTCGTTTGTTTGTAGACTGATTGTGGATTCAATTGATTTCCAATCCCCACTTTTTTATGCCCCAAACAGAATCCAGGCTTTCAGATATCCTAATTCCAGGACGGGAGCAGGTTGCAACTCGAATTGCAGATAGCAGCAGCAGCAAGCACCGAGCCTCTTTGCAATTCTACTCAATCAATGAGATGATTGATCAGTTCATTAATTTTGTAATTCGCCCACCAAGGTATACGCTCACCTGCTACTCTACATTATCATGGTTCCCTTTGTACTTTTTAGTGGATGAATCAATCCATCACCGCCATTCAAATTAAACAATTTTATGTCCTTTATGCGCCGAGGTTCCAAATTTGCTGTCTTTAACTCCTATTGTTGTACTTTGCTCATTTAAACACCCCCTTTTTCTGCCATTTATGAAGTTGCAATCCTGACCCGTTAAAGGGTTTGAATTTAAGAGTTTGCATATATATAATTTTTTCTTTGGCGTGTCTGTCTTTTATGTAATTTCCCTTGATCTTTAAAAACAGGGCCGAGTACAACCCCAATCAGTATTTATGGGAGAAAGATTTTACAATTGCTGGCCGACAATACAAAAGAGAAGATTTGGAGGCAAGTATGGCCATCTGTTGCACCATACGTCTTTATGTACCCTCCAAAAATGATGGTATTCTAAGCCCTATTTTGTGTTTCAGCTCAAGAATGAAAGGGGACATACATTGCAGTGTAGTCATTATGTTCCATCACCTTTTCCCGATGGCACACGTTTGCCTTGTGTTGTATACTGCCATGGAAACAGGTTGGCTTCTGTTTCTCCATTTTTTTCATCCTGCTCAAAGAGATAGAAGACTTATTGTTTTGTGCACCCACCGTGGTGGTATCTGCAGCGGATGTAGGGCAGATGCAAATGAGGCTGCTGTGATTCTTCTTCCTTCCAACATTACGCTGTTCACGCTTGACTTTTCTGGTTCTGGCTTATCTGGCGGGGATCATGTCAGTCTTGGCTGGCATGAGGTACAGTTTTCTCTTTAGTCTCTGTTCTTGTTAACCCCCACCCATACTATGTCTTGCTAAGATTGCTTCATTTTTCCCATGCCAGAAAAACGACTTGAAAGTAGTGGTCTCATATCTTAGAACTAACTCTAAGATTTCGCGGATTGCTCTTTGGGGTCGGTCAATGGGTGCAGTTACTAGGTTGTTTGACTTCTTTGTTTTTTTAATCATTTTTGTTCCATTATACCATCCTTCGGTTTGGTATTTTTCTAGTTGATATGGTTCATCTTCAGAGTTGTGTCTATATTGTCATGTAGCCTTCTTTATGGAGCAGAAGATCCATCTATAGCTGGAATGGTATTAGACAGTGCCTTCTCAAACTTGTTTCGTCTGATGATGGAACTTGTGGACGTATACAAAATTCGGCTACCTAAATTTACTGTAATGTGTTTCTGTGTTGTCTTCAGTTTTTCTAACTTTTATTTGTCACTTTTGTTTTAAATATGAACAGTCTGTAGTGCCAATATGATAGATTGATATGCGTTTGTCTTCAGATTAAGGTCGCTCTTCAATACATGCGCCGCGTGATCCAGAAGAAGGCAAACTTCGATATAATGAGCCTAAACTGCTTACAGGTTCTTATTCTTCACATGATTTCTTTCAGATGACGAACTTGGCCCTTCATGTCAATCAGCTGTCCACATTGGTCACACATTAAGAATATCCAGCTAACTGACACGATGAACTTATTATTGTTTGTTTTGGATCCATCCAAGTAATATTGTGTCACATATCATTTTCCAATCCACTTTCAGGTGGCACCTACGACCTACATCCCTGCTTTGTTTGGGCATGCCAAAGATGACAAATTTATTCAGCCTCACCATTCAGACCTCATTTTTGAGTCTTATGCGGTATTGACTTAATCCAATAAAAGATCTCATCTCTGTTAATAATGTGTTAAGAGAAGTAATGCTTGTTTGTTTCTCTTCTCGTTTCAGGGTGATAAGAATATTATAAAGTTTGATGGTGACCACAATTCTTCTCGTCCTCAATTTTATTATGATTCGGTATCCATATTCTTCTACAATGTACTTCATCCTCCTAAACTTCCAGCTGCTCATACCAACAAAGCAGATAAATATTATGATTTGGGGGACCTGAAGGTCAGTGCCGATGCAGATGAGGTAAAGTGGTAAACTGTGTGCATCCTGCAATTGATTATTTCCGTAACAGCTGGAGTTGCAGAGACTTAATTGATGGGTTCTTTCCCCCCTCTTTTCTGGCTGCCTCGGTGCGTTCAGAATTTGCTCTATGAGATTATTGCTGGTCTTCAAAGTGTACGTTCTGATGCTGCTAGCTCGTCTTCAGCACCACATGGCTTTTCTGGGCCATCTGTTGGTGAACTACTTTATGAGATTGCCCCAGATGCCAGCGTACTTGTACTAGTTTTCTCCTAGATGCTTAATCCTTTATGTCAATGATTAAATTTCTCCCTTTTTCTGCCTAGCAGTTTTGGTATTTATGCGAATATCAGTCCATTGATTGTGAATATTAACTAATCATTCTATCTTAGGAATCCCTGGTGATTGAAGAGACGTCAAGAAATGGTGATGATGCGGCACAGTTACAGGTAACCTTTGGTTGGTTTATGCATTGAGCTGTTGTATATAATCGATAGTTTGTCAAACAGTAAATTATGTTATTGTCATGGTCAGGGAAAACTAAGTGGCCTGAATGAAGAGTCTTGCTCATACACAAGTTCAAATAGGGAGAGTTGGGGAAGATGCTCCTCCCTTGGCAGTGATAATGAACCTTATTTCGACTGTGCTGATCTTCCAAAAGATCAGGTGAATCTCTCTCCCGAGCACTAACTAGTTGGCTTCTAAAAAAAATCCTCCTGTTAGCATTAAATGTATTGGGAAAGTTTCCAATGATCATAATATTAGCTTAAAAATTATACTTGATCTTATTTCAGACAAAACTCAATGTGGTAGCGACGCCTACTCGAGATGTTGGACACATACCCTTAAAAATCCCACAAGATGAGGAAACAAAGAAGAAAGGTTCAACAAGTAAGAAATCCAAAGGTGAAAAGTTTGAGAAGCTTGAGGCTCTTAGCCATCGTCTTCGTCTTTGTATTCTTAAGAGTGTCAAACATAAGAGGCACTGCTCCTCGTGACTCGCCTCTGTAGGTATAAAATGCAAATCTTAGGTCTTTTTAAGTTACTTTCCTTTTATTATGGCATGTTTCATTTTAGCAACATATGTATTTGATTTTTCCAGCTAACAAAATGCGTACTATAAATGTGCACTAACAAAATAAATGTGCTATTTATTTTGTGGGTTGGGGGATTGGGTTGTTTGAATTGATGTTTTGAGAGTTTTGGATTGTTTTCTAAAGTAAATGCTGGAAATGATGAAATGGAACTCTTTTTGGGCAGACGATGAATCCTGTTCAGCAATGGCTTTTGTTTAATTCTCAGAACCTAACTTGTTGGGGAGATTAGTGCTTTCGAATCCCACCTCCCTAGAGCGGCAATGTAGTGCTCTCCGATCTCAGTCAATACTGTATGGTCTTTTATGGTCCAGTCATGCCAAAATGTCGCAGATAGGAGTTCTATTGATCGTGTCTGATTGGGTAGAGTAGATGCACCAATCACCAAAAAATGTTTGAAAATAGAATTCTAATCAAAGGCAGCAGAGAGTAATACACCTGCGGGTGACTTAGAAATGGAAATACATAAATTCATGATCATTCCTAACCGTATACTCTACCTTTTTTTCCCCTCGGCTTTAGGGAACCATATTGACAGGTTGTGTGGCATAGGTGAAATGGGTTGCATAGAAGTTCTATAGTTACTGGACAGTAAGTAGAGGTAGTCCATGCTTCACCTCATAGCAGAGCAGATTCCGAACTCACGCTTTCTGTGCAGCATGCAGGTCCTTTCTTCTGCCTCTGCGTGCGCTCTCATCCGAAAGTGTAGAGTGCAAGTGTAAAACAGTATACTTTTAGTTTTTGGTCTGTTCATACAGAACGCGTTGAATGCCTCATTGGAATTGGATGAAAAAAATATGTGAATGAATCAATCCAGATGATAGGATATGAGGCCCCAACCTAGCTACACATGGTTTAGATTAAGTAGTAACTTATTCCCATGCAAATGCTTGGCCCATCTTCTAGCCATGAAAGAGTCATGGTATTCCCAAGTCTCAGCACTGCTAGTCCTCCTTTCCAAGCCACCATGGTATCTCTCTCTTTGATCTGCCCCAATTCCAACTAACATTTCCCCCGTCTTACAATTGCAGTCATCCTCGGTTCCACCACCACTCTCAATGTAACTGTACTCCACACAATAATACCCCGCAGCTGATTTTTCAAGTAACAAGGGGAACCTTCTCTCTTCGCCTCCCCTGAGTTCTCGTAGCCTGATGATTCTGCCGTCCTTCATTTTCAGCTGAATGTCTCTGATGGCACCCCCAAGCATTCCAGCCAGAAATTTCTCGAACTCGTGCATTACGTAACCGTGAGAACCACCGAAACCAAAACCAACGTGGAACCGATGGATTTTGACATTAACTTCTCCCATGACAGTACCCAAGTTGTTGTTATGGTGACTGTAGGACCAGGTTGGACTGTCTGTGAGATGCAGAATACAAGATTCGGGGTTCCTGTAAACACGATCATTCAGCACTTTGAATCCTTTCTTCAAGCCAACACTAGGATCCGCGAACCCTGTGTGGAACAAGCGATCAATCAATTGAATGGCGGTTCTTTTCCCACAGGAAGTCATGCGTTTGAGGGGGAACAAGCGTGCAGCCGCAGATGAGTAGGCGACGATGGCCAGGCGGTCCTCTGGTCTGAGGGAGAGTATCACCAGAGCCATGGCTTGTTTCAGAAGCCTTAAATGTGGGCCATTGGGGCTGGCAACTAGGACCAGATCAGTAGGTGGTTGGAGCTCCAGTTTGACACAAAGATAAGCTGTAGCAGTGTCAGAATGGCGGCGGTGTCCATGTCCTCCACCTCCAGAGGAGGGAAGATGGTGTGGAGGAGGGGGGAGTAGGGTTTTCTGAGGGGGTTGGCACAAATGAATGGTAGGACGTAAAGGGAGCAAAGAGATACGGAGACGGTGATGATGGGAGATGGAGGGGCGAGTCGTCAGCACCAATGGATCGTCATCGTCATAGCGAGCAGAGAGTAGAAAGGAGCGGCGGTGAACTCGAAAGGTGGCGATGGAGTTATCAAGGATCTGAAGAATGGGATCATCAGAGTGAGTGGTGTGGAGGGAGTAACGTGAATTGAGAGTGCGGGGAAGCTGGGTCCAATAGGCACGGCAAATGGGGCAGGTGAGGCTACCATGCCGAACGTTGGAAGAGATGCAAGAGAAATGAAATGAGTGGGAACACTGTGCCGTGAATATAGCAGGTGTTGGGCCGCTGCCTCCCGAGTTGTAGTCGAGAGAATCAAGACAAATTGCGCATACATTCTGCCCCACAAGTAGAAAAGAAAGAAACACAAGACGATTGAATAAAATACTGTACTAAAAGGAGGAATTCATAAAAATCAGATGATTTAAACACATAGGGGAAGAGAAAGTTAAATTACCAGATCATGGATACTAGGAGGAGAAGGAGGATTGGCATCGGCGTTGGCGAGGGCATCATCCTGCAGGAAGACACGGGTTTGGTTGTGTCTACTAGTACTACTAGTCCGAGAAAATGATGCGCAAGTGTAGGCAATTAGCTTCTTCAAACTCCACGACGACGATGATGGGGATGATGACAATGACGCTCCTCCTCCTCCTCCTCCTCCTCCTCCGCTTCTTCTCTCTTTTCCGACCATCAATCCCCTGTTTCTTCCAAAATCCAAACCACCGCGCACTTTTTGTCCTCTCTCTCTCTCTCTAACGATGGGATCTTAGTTTCTTAACCAAATTAGACCATAGGAAAGAGACAAAAGGGAGAAACAGCCAGCCAATTTTTTTTTGTGAATTATAGAAGGAGAAGGGAGGAGGTGGGAATGTAATTAAGGAAGTACCATTAGTAAGTAGTAACCTCACCTGGGGTTGAGCTTGAGTTTTTAACTTTATAATTCTTATTAGTAGCTTCTTCATCAGTTTGCTAATGCTCTTAATTAGTAGTAGTTGTAGGCCAGTGTGGGGACGGGGTGCTCCTTTTCTTCCCACTTCTTTTGGTCTTTGATTGCCTTTTTTTTTTGCCGGGTTTGGGGACCACCATTCGAAAGTACCCCGCGTCGCATTAGTCCCCTGTCTCTGTGTGTGTAAGAAAAAAAAAAAAAAAAACTATCATTTCCTCTTTTCCAAAGAAATAATTTCTGTTTTAATTTTAAATTTTTAATAGAATATAAATTATAAACAAAAAAGTAAAATGAATAATTATGCAAAGTGATATAGTGTGTTAGTTTGACAGTCCGACTTTTACGACATGCCCGATTCTGGGAGAGTAAATAATAAGTAAATCTATTTGAGTGAAATACTGAATAACATCATATGGAATATAACGCAAAACATCGCATAATTTCTTAAGAATATATATCAATTAAAGGATTAGATGTTGACATAAGTATTGCAATAATTATTTCTTTAAATGGTATTTCCTCTGTTCCACAAAAATAATTCAGTTTAAAAATGTACAACATTTTAATTTGGTCAATTTTTCAAAGTACAACTCATAATTATTTCATGAATTTCCAAGTTTGCCCCCAGTTTAAAATTTATTCCCCATTAATTTTCATGTTTCTCTCTCTTCAATTTCCTACGCCGACGAGCCGGAGAGCCGACCGCTTCTTCCATTTCTCTCTCTCGTTTTCTTGATTTTTGACGGGTTCCAACTTCGAGAGTTTTTGCTAAGATTGGATCTCTTCCTCCCTATCCTTCCTTCCTTCTCTGTTCCTCTCCTTATGCAGTGTTCAAGCATCACACTCAGGTACTGTATTTTTGCGATCAATTTGGCTTCCTCCTGATGCATTCATCGATCTGTTTCATGGATCTGTTTGCTTATTCATCGGTCTGTTTCTACCGGAAAAGATGAAGAAGAATTCCAAAATTAATGAAGACCGACCTTGGAAGGATGAACTTTTGGGAAGCTCTTAACGTCGAGGAATCCTGCGATGACTTCTCTGTTCGTCATTTCATCTCCTCGATTAGCTGTAGCCGTCGTTGGCTCCTCCTCCAACGTCCCATCGCCGGTAATTTTGGAATTAGGGATTCACCACCGGAGCTCGCCGTCAGAACTGAAAGTTTTGGTACAGGTTGAATATGTTTATTAGATAGGGCAATTGAGTCATTTAACATGTTTCAATTTTGACTTTTATTGAAATTGGATTATTTTTTTAGTACAAAATTTTTTATTAAACTGAATTATTTTTGTGGGATGGAGGAGTACAACATTCATATGAGTGCTAAATAAAGCAAAAATTAAGATTCCAAATTCCTGCCGAGCCAAGCACTAAAAATAAGAGTTTTTTTCAAAAAAAAAATAAATAAAGAAGAAAGAAGACAGATAAAGGAAAGACAATATTTCATCTATCCGAGAAAATTGATTTTCTGTGAAACAGAAAAACTGCCGCATATTTTCGAAGTAAATGCATAACATAAAAGCCTTTTTGTGTCTAAAGTAAATGACTGAGCTGTCAAAGCTGAAGACCCTAGAACGCAGTGGAAAGTTGCGATCAATTGGGGGGGACTTACTGAGATAAAAAAAGTTTTCTTTAAATTCTTTGACCGCCAACGGCCCAAGCTGTGTACCGTACCGAGATTTCTCCCGCCATTTCTTTTCTTCTTCTTCTTTTGAAAAAAAGAAAAAGAAGAGAAAAGAAAAGAAAATTGGTGGACGAACACAATATCCATTTTATTGATTCGCACAGGAAGATGCGCAACAATTTAGCAAAGATGGAGTCAGACTACATAGGGCACTTTTGTTGTTTTTGTTTTTCTTATTCCATCATACATATTATTGCATTACATAAAAGCATGTGAATATTCAATTCAAAATAAAGAGGTGCCTGGATTGGGGTTTGATATACAATTTTTGACTTTCATTCCTATGATTTTGATTTAGCATGTTTGGTGGGAGGGTTTGAAATCACCAAAAGATATTTCATTTTTGATAATCCATTCCACACCATTTTGGAGGGAATGAAGCAATTTTCTTCTTTCTTCCTATTTTGCCGTAATCAACATACGTCACCTCCTTCTCCATCTTCCTCACTCAACCCACCACCCAATATGCTCCTCGGTCTTCTGCTCCTTATGCGGCTTTTGCCGATTAGAACAATGTTAACCACCAACCCCAGTCGATTTTGTGCACTAAAGAATTGATCTATTTCCTCCTCAGATTTGGATTTAGCTATGCGGCTACTGCGAGAGCAGCGAACCAGTAAAAGGAAGAAAAATTTGAACTGAAAGGTAGAAGATAAGGGCGTAAATGAAATTTTATGTGCATTCCCATTCCAAAATTTTTTGTAACCAAACACCGCTAATGAATCAAATACCATTCACAGTAACCTATTGCATTCCATGGTCTCATTCCACCTCCATGAACCAGACATCCCCTTAGTTCTTACGAGTTTTTTTCATTTATCACATATATATTTGTATTTAGTCGGCAAACTCGCTTACCTACAGTAGGTTTGCAGGCATTTTACAGTGCGGTTACCTTCGAAGGTCCCAAGGACTTTTGTTTTAGATCAGTTTAATAGGTTTTATTATCAGAGATAGCAGATAGGTCTTGCCCCCCTTAGGCTACTGTCTTCCCGACATAATAGAGGGAAACGAACAACTAATTACACCTGAACGCCTGATATAATTTAGAAATGAAGCTCTTTCTACTATTAATCACTACAACTCAAGCAGTTTAATGCAGTCTAGTAGCACCAAAGGAAACGCCCCAAGCACATCATGATTATTAAGCACATCATGAAGCACATGCAACACTAACAAAAACATTAAAGTCCACAAGCAAAATGCAAGATGACAACTAGAGAACTTGTTTGCGAAGCCTATCTCTCCAACTTAGCCAGTTTGTCCAATGCATGGCGCAAGGGTTCTCTCAGCTTAGCTTTCTTGTCCTAGAAAAGGCAGAAACAACATTAGCAACGTGAAAACAGTTTATGAAGGAATCTTCACCCCCCCCCCCCCCCCAACACACACACACACACCCCAAAGGCACTGTTTTTTATCACCGTCAAATTTATATGGTTAACTGGATTCATAACGAAGATACTCCAGAACTTAATGGACAACCCAAACTTCATAAATACACTTGATCATATCAAAAGATTCTAAACCCCACCCCCACCAAAAAAAAAAATTACCACACAGAAAAACATTCAATTGTTACATAAATAAGCAAACCAAACATTATACCTTCAAGGATGGGACAAGAGCAAAAACCTCATCAGCAGATTCAACTTTCAAATTTCCAATCACGCAAATCTGTTGACAGAAATAAGAAATCAAATGCCTCCTTTATTGGATCAACATAATGAATCAAAAGGTAGTGCACAACCATACCACGCTCTGCGACAAACCATACTTCTTGAGAGGTCTAATCTGAGTTAAGTGAAAAACCTTTGAAACCGTACAAGAAAATCAAGTATGACTAGATAGGATACTGAAGAATTTGTTGAACTGCATGGATATCTGCAGATATGCCACGCCTCTTGGAGTACATCAGGCCTCTGTCAAATGGACTAAGAGCGGCAATGTTTCAGAAAATAGAGTTCTGATCATGAGCTTTTAAAAGGGTCCAGTGCGGATTATGTCATTGATGTAAAACAGAAGGTTCTTGAGAGAGATGCTCACGTTGGGAGTTTAATTGCTGGGTCGGCTGACAATACAACCATCTTTTCCTGAATACCTTGCAAAATGTCTGCAGCCTCACAATCCATCAAGCACTTAGTCTTCTTGGGTAACTCTGCCTTGCAAAAAAACATGAATATAAGCACGACAAGTCATTCACATAAAAAAACATATCGTTTATAACATGAAGTTGACTTCATAAATAAGTAATTGGGAAACAACTCAAGTTTGTCCAATGTTCATCACTACCAATCAACTTAAACCATCATTTTTTTAATTGGGATAATATGTCTCATCAACAGAGTTTTTATCACGTATGTGCCTGAATGCTCTGAACTTGTAAATCAGTGTTCACTATTCCTGTCTGGAAACGAAGTAGGATGCATGTTGAAGTCATTCATGACCAAAAAGAAGCTAACAAGAATGCCGCCTTAGCTGATTTTTCATTGTATAAACAGAGCGCCGCTATTTATGAATCGTAGGCATTAAGAAAAAGAAGAAACTTTCACAATTAAAAACAAAAAGAATTAGGCAGAAGGAACAGGAGAAACAGGGGACACAATCAATGAAACAAGAAAATGATGTTCATTTTTAAAATACATAATTGGTAAACTGAGAAGCATCAACAAGCTGAACACTTTACATGCAAAAAGGTTGACAATATAGTTAATTATTTGAGTTATTTGAAAGAGAGACAGAGTCCTGTGCACCTTCTTCAACTTTGAACTCATGAGCAAGTGCTTTCGTCGACAAATTCTTGCCACCGCCTGCTGCCTTGCCTCCTTTCCCACTTTTGTCCCTGTCACCTTTTAAGCAAATTTTAAGTGTTAGTTTGGCAAACATTATAAAGACAACAACTTTGTCCACAGGGTTTACAAGTTGCAACTTGCAACCAAACCCCTCTATGCAAAAAGAGTTTTCAAAGGGATATAGAACAGAGACCCAGAAAACTGAAGATGTTATAGAAAATTAAACCTTTAATGACAGGCGGATCGGTTTTCCCATTACTCTTGGGTGATACAGGTTCTAATGAATCTGAAATGCATACAATGTAAACTATTAGAAACACTCAGTATTCCAAAATCAACGAGAGAGGGAAGCCAAGCAAATGATGGCACTATTCAACGGAAAAAAAATGATGATTTGACCACTATGGCATTACATGTTTTGGGAACTCTATTAGTAACAAAGACATGATTTACCTTCAAAATCAATCTGGACCTTCCTCCCCATCTTTGACTTTGCAGAGCTATCATCCTTCCCTACACAGAACAAGAACAAATTTTATTTTTTTAAAAAAAAAAAAGCAAAAAAAGGAAAGAAAATCAAGAAGGCCATCAATCAAGCAGGGGATCCGTAGTTAATCTGACCACCCCCAAAAAAAAGAAATAAATAAATAAAATCCCGTCATGAGAATATCAGAAAGTATATAATCAGGAAATCAAACGAATAACAACAAAGAAAACCAAACAAAATTCACCGCATAATCCTAGTCAAATCGAGACAAATTAAAATCATAAAAAAAAGGAATATGGAATGGTAGGGGAGGGGACAAAATTTGAATGCCCATGAGGAATGCATTCCATAAATCCCTAATAAACTTGAACCTTCTCAATTTAAGAAGAGCAAAAATGAATGGTATTTGTAGCGGAAAACTTTACCATCTTTAGGAGGGGATAAGAAACCCTTACCTCCTCTTTCCGCCATTTTTCGATCAAAATTCGAAACTGCAACCTTCTTTCGCCGTTGATCAAAACAACAATTCGAACACAGCACACAGGCAATTCAGTTCTAGAGTTTTAGTTGAACGAAGTGAAAAGAAAAAGGAAAAAATAAAAAAGAGAGAGAAAAAGAAAAAGCCATATAATGAGGGCTAAAAGAATGGATAACATACCCAAAATGCCGTCTCTCGTTTTCTGAGCCCAAGCGGTCTTCAGAGCAGTCAACAAGTTACAAGTTTTTTTTTTTTTTTTTTTAAGAAATAGATTATACTCCCTCTCCCATAATTATTGTCCAGTTTAAGTTTCCATTTTTAATTCAAATTATACTAAAAGTGAATCTCAAAGTGAAAAATAATTTTGGAACATATGGAGTATTAAACTTGTTGGAATTCAGCCAGTCATGAATGATACAAATAACTTGGTGGGTGAAACCAAATCATGTCATAAGTTACGTGCGATTTAGCATAACCAGCTATAACATGAGCCACTTCATTTTCGTGATGTAAAATCCAATAAATGGACTTGAAAGAGAGATCTAACAATAACTGCTTAATCTCTAACAATACTGGCAGACAAATGAACTAATAGTCAGCCTCTCATATGGCTGCTAAAATAGCTACAGAAGTCAAGAAGTTTTTTTTACTGGGTTCATTGTGTTTTATCCGGGGAAAATTTCTTGTACTAACAATTTTACCCTTATCTGAAGTAAAAGAATAAGGGCGAATTTACTAAAATTCACAAAATTAGCAAATGGTACTACATAATTTTTACATCCCCATGTTTTTTCCATTTATTCCTTTCAAATATGCCATACTTTGTAAGTCGTGCTAATCTTATCAAATATGCCATATTATTTATAGTTTTTTTAATTAAATATATCTCTACTAAAATATATATTTACCTAATTGATCATGATATATTATGTGCTAATCTTATTTTTTTCAAATATAATTAGTAATTCTATTTACAATTTTAAATACTATTCATGCAGTACAATTTTTCATTTACAGTGTGAATTATTTTTATGAGAAATTGAGAGTATTTGTTTTATTACATCAAACTATTAAATAGTCCACTTTATATAAACATATATACTTCTTCTATACTACGAAACTAAGTTACATTATGAATTGTCAATTGTATTGAAGGAGTACTATTTAAACTTGTGAAAAACACAATAATATTATCAGTTGATAAATATTACTCTCTCCGTCTCATAATTATTGTCCTGTTTGAATTTTTATTTTTAGTTTAAATTGTATTAAAAGTGAAATTTCAAACTGGACAATAATTTTGGGACAGAGGGAATACTATTTCTTAGTCGAGGCCCTCATTGTAATATTTTACTGGCCGTGCCACTTTTCCAACCATCCTTCACAATTGCCACGCGTTGCTGAGCGATCACTTTTGACCGACGGCGGTCCATCAGCAGAGGGTTGGTTGTCTGATGGTTGGTTAGTGGTCCACTAGTAATGACTGAAAAAATATGTAAAATAATTTAAAACAGAAGTTAAAATGTTATATAAATGGTATGCATTTGTGCATGTAATTGGGAAAAACTATTCTTGTATAGTTATGCTGCCAAAAAAAAAAAAATCATAATTAAAGAGGTATAAAAAGTTATAAAAAAAAAACAGTAAAATTGTAGGTTTCGGTAAATTCTAATAGAGGCATAGAGATTTCTTGACAATTTTAAAATGTCTAACAAAATAATACATTTATTTAACATAACTATAAAGCAAAAATACGAGAATGAGGTCTCATCAAGATAGTAAAGCTCTGGGTGAATTTCTTAAAGTTTTAGTGATCCATTTTCATCCGACATATGTAAAAGAGAGGAGGTATTCCATATTTAAATGCGATCCATTGGGGTAAAAGTATTTTTTTTTAAAAAAGCTATAAAGTAAAAGCACATTAATACATTTGTTCTAAGATAAAAGAGATACAAAATTGTGTTGATTACCGGGTCATCAAACTAATATGTCATTCAATAAAATTATAGGAAAAAGACCTAAAAATTAGGTTAAGATAAGAAACAAACATAATAAATTTTGGTTTTACGCCCAAAAACCAACAATTGAAACTCTAATTGTGATTAGAAGATTATGCGATATTCAATGAAAAAAGATTTGTAAATTTAATAAGAAGACTAGATTTTTTTTTTTTGTCGCGTGTTGCGCGATCAGTTCAGTATTTGAGTATTTTGAAAATCATTTGCACCTTTAGTATGTACTAAATGCTGAATTTTAAGATAATGGGATAAACATAAACACACTAAAAGAAGAATGTTCACATATAATGTACCAAATTCTGTTTCAATGTAGTTATATATGAGACTTTAGCACGTAATTGATAGAATAATTAATTCTCATGAAAGGGAAAAAAAATAGAGGTAAATTTTTTTTTTTTACTTTGGTTAAGACAGATTCCCAATCTTTAATAACTCAAACTTTAGATAACCTAACCTATTTTCCAAAAACACACGAAAAATAAAAAATCATAAGATTTTGGGGCGGGAAAAGATTTGTGGGGAAGAATGGGATAGAGAGTGGCCGAAAAAATTGACATTAAAAATAGGCACAAAAGAATGACATTTTAATTGTTAACATCGAATAGTAAACGCCGTCGTTTAGTCCGCTACATTAATTAGGTTATTTTTCTCGGCTAATGACATATTTAGTTGGTAAAAAAAAATAACTTTATTAATTTATCATTATAAATTTGTTTTAAATTGTTCATGTCATGGTAATATATTATCCAATCAAAGGGCTCAATTTAAAATTGATGATGTCATGTGAATTAATGGACCAATCAGAATGCTCAATTTAATTTCTAACCAATGGTGTTAAAGATTCTAAACTCACTAAGAGACTTTTACTTATGTACAAATTATGTGCACATTTTAATGAAAAAACAAAATTTGGGTATAATATTTATTGACCTCGAAGAAAATATATGATAATGTTATTAAGGATATAATAAAAAGGATGAGCGTTTGGAGTAAGAGTGAGTTATATTAAAATTATAAAAGACATTTATAATAATGAAATAACATGTATTAGAAACTTAGTCGGGATATGAGTAAATTCCTAATAACTATTAGTTTGCATTAGGGATTGACTTTGAGCTCATATCTTTCACCTTAGTGATTTATAGAATTACTAAATAATTACAAATTGGTATTCTCAAATGTATATTATTTGCAGATGACATAATAACGTTAACAGATGAGACGGGAAATGTGGTAAATGCCAAGTTAGAAAGGAGATAGTAAAATTTAAAGGTTTTACTATATGCAAGAACATGTTTCAAAAAAGAAAGTATTCCTACTAGAATTGAAATGTATCAAAACTGCTGACTATTCTTTTTTAGTGACTTAAATTTGTTAAGGTAAAAGTTTGTGGTGATACAATCTATCGAGGTGGTAAATATTGGGACCAAAAGTGGTTCCCAATATCTTTTTCCTTTTTCTTTTTTCATAAAGCCTATAAACCAACCCAAATAAGCAAATCTATATGTGCAAAAGAGAGTTTTTAATCACACACATCCAAAATCTATATTTGTAGGAGAGAAAAATTTACAAATTTGCACTACCAAGTTATGATACATTTTATGAACTATTACTTCTAAAAATTTATACATATAAGTCATACTAATATTTTACCCTTCAAAGCGTACATTATCTTCAAAATAGAATATAATTACATAAAAAAATGGATATAATTCACACGGCACAACATGAACAACAATTGTTACGTCGCGATAATAACGCTTGGCTATGATAAGATTTTTACAATTTTACAAAATATATCTAACACTATCTGTGCAACACGGACATTGTAATAGTTGTAGTCTAGTTGCATTCGGTAATATGAGTTCGACCGTACAAGTTTTACTTTCAAAGCACAGCCCCTCAAAAATTCTATTTAACCAAAAAGACAAAAGAAAAGAGTCCCAAAGAGCAAAAAACGACATTCATTCACCCGAAACACAAGTATATATTAAACGCAGAAGCAGAATACATAAAGACCTTTTTGTAATTTTAATCAAAAGCTACATAGTATGAAGGCGATTTTTTATGCATTCAGTATCTCCATTGCAGCAGCAGATCCTCAGCCGAGAGCCATGAAGCACCTTTTAAATTGCAGCATCGGTGAAATTGTTCACAAGCAATAGAATAAACCAAACTCATATCCCAAAAGGATGGTATACTTAAAAGCAAGTCAAAAGAATCAGGTATCATCGACTTGGGAGTGGAAAACAAAACTCGGGAATGTAGTAGTGATGTCCCTGTCCAAAGAACAAGATACGGTTATTGTTATTTATACCCTCAATTTAGAGGGATCCATTTTTTAAGAATTTCACCCAACAATAAAAAGCATCATTTCTCACTGGAGTTCATCAGATAGACTTAAGAGGAATCTAGTAGTACTAGGATGGCCAAGAAAAACAAGACAATTGTGAACTTCCACCAAATCCTGCCTGGAAGCACCTTTAAAGATAAAAACTAAAAAAAAAAAGAAAACCAACATAAAATTTACATGAACAAGAACATATGTAAAAATAAAAATAACGAGAAACAAAGGTGTGGCTGCTACAGTACGACATTATAAAAGGTATATTTCAGAAGCTTCATTTGGAAAAACTACACCAAGGGAAAATGTTCTTATACATCATTTCTGCATCAGGTCACAGGAATGATGAGCTGAAAAAATGCTAGACAAAACCTAGAGACCAATGCCTAATATTCAAATATTCAAGCAGACGCTTCTTGCTTAAGAAGTCAGCAACCATGACTGAAGTGGTGTAACACGTAGTAACCACAATTAACGGAATCAACACAAGCTGAACTTACTTGAGATATTGAAGGGTCATATTCTTCAAAAGAGAAGGATGCCGTAGTACAAGGTTACGCCACTCTTCCTTGTCGATCTTTCCATCATGTTTTGTATCAGCTTCCTCAAAGGTCTAATGTTAGAAAGACAGACTATTAAATATATCAAGTTTTAGAAGAGAATGCAATCAAACTTTTCAAACCTCGACCCACCAGATAGATACGGATGAAAAATCACATCAAACCACTACTACTACTACTACTAATAATAATGATAATGATGATGATGATAAAGAGCAACAACTAACCACCACTGTGATATTACATTTGTTAACAGAAAATCAAAGAAGCTTTTGTACACTGTTAAATAGAAAATCACAAAAATCCTCCAGAGCACAGTTCTATTTATTTCCTTAATACTGGGGGATGAACCTCTAAAATCTCACCTTATCTATTATACTTTCAATCACATCATCAGAAAGGTTCATGCCTGATTCAGCTAGTGTTGCCACTACCATTTGTTTTACCTGTGTTATAATAAAAAGTAAAGTTATTTCCAGAATGAAAACTTGGGGGAGGGGGTTGAGGAGTTGGCACACATCTTAAAAGTGACCAAAGGAAGACACAATCTATAGACAAGCACATCAAAAAATAACACTAGAACAAATAAAGAACAATAAATCTTTGCATACATTTCTCAGCAATCCATGAGAGATCATAAATGTCTGTCCACCCAGTATCAACATTCAGTACATAGTTTCCACATTGACGTTGGTTATCACACTTATTCCAAATCAGGGGACTAGCCTTCACATAAATCTTAGAGCATACAGTTGAAAAGAACCCTTACAACACTTGCTTTCAGATCTTGGACCTAGAAGCGTTACAGAATCTACTAACTTTCCCAAATTATAAAAGAGATTGGAACAAACGTACATGCATAAAATAACTTGGCAAACTACGAAAGGTACCTCCTGTCTTTCAATGTATCCTTGTTGCTTCAGATCATACAGTTGAAAAGAAACTGCAAAAGGACAATTTTGGCGCCACCGAAAGAAAAATGTATCAGCAACACCATAATATTTGTGTTTATTTGCGTGTATGTGTAATTATCTGAGAAGTTAAGGAATGCAAAAGAATGAAAAAGAAAGGAAACAATGCTTACAATCAATCTTATCATCAATAGGAGCATTTGGGTGAAAGACTGAAAGAGCACGCGCAAACTCTTCAAAATCTAATATCCCATTATGCTTCGTGTCAAACAAGTCAAATACCTGTGTACAAAAGATTAGAATTTCCATCAAGTTTGCATGTAGGAGGAATGAAATATATTATGCCTAGCAAAAAATGTGGCTCAGATAAGTTCTGAGGTTAAGCGCGTGCAGAAAGTACCCGATCTGCAAACAAGCTCTCCTTTTTGTTTGTCTTAAAGAGGGCAAGTTGAAATTCTTCCTGTGTTCGCAAAATGAAAAAAAAAAAGAAAATCACTGTCCAGCATCAAGTACAAAATTCAAAGAGGGAGCGGAATACAACTGAGAACGGCGATGACAAACTAAGTTTGCAACCACAAGGGCTTTATCTAACATCAACAACAGCAGGGAGGAATGTGATATTTCTTACCTTGTTAATAAGCCCATCGTCGATCACAGCACTGCTGATCTTCTTAAATAATTCATACAGCGCCTCTATTTCACTAACACTAACTGCGATTTGAGACCAAAGAGGAATGAAGAAATTAGAACAGCCAAGTATGCACCTAACTAAGAAAAAAAGAACATTAAAAGAATAATGAAGAAGTGACAAGCAAAATACTAGAATTTCTTTCTTAAAGTTACATGCTGGTAACAGGATGCAGAAAGTCTATAATAACCAGGACAAACTCAGAAACGAGAAATCAGGAATATGTAAAAAGAAAAAAAATAGTTGAAGTCAGTAGACATACAGACGGTTTCCCTAGCAAGAGCTTCAGGATTCTCCAAGCCTCGAGGTTGCTTATAAATTTCAGAATCACAGCAATTGGCAACAGCAGAAAGGAAATGTGTCACACTGTCTAAGCACTGCAACATGATCTTTTCCAGGAATCAAAACGATCCATAACTGTAATAAACAACTAATCAAATTCTTCAACATCACTAAAGAAACAAAACATATGGATGTTGAATTTGAATAATTGCTAATTGCTAATCTTATAAACAACAAGGCACAATGAAGGATAGGATGATTTACTGAAAAGATGGCCAAAGTTCACAACTGCATACCATTCAGTCAAAATCAAGAAAAGATCAGAAATTAAGCACCTAAATGAAAGCAGTTTCAAACCTCTTTTACTTGTTAAAGGCTTCCCAACTCTAAATTTGATTGTTTTCTTTGCAAGTGACAGCAGTAACATAGATGTGGGCGTATCTATCTGACTAGCTTCTTGAGGGCGGAAAGGAGAACCAATTAAATATCTAAATAGGGAGGATAACAAGAAGACCTTTCGATTGTCTATTTTAACCTGTTAACTTGATTCTGGAAACAGTTGCAACAGATGATACCAATTCAACAGTAAAAAGTACTATGTCACCACCAAAACTTAAAACAAACAAAATAAGAGGAAAATGATATAAATAACCAACAGAACACTGGAAGCCTACAATGTCCGTTACAAGACTAGGTTGATCACTACATGTACAAAAAAAAAAAACAACAAAAACTATGTCTTGGACCTCTTTTTATATTTATTTATTTTTTATGAAAATGTAGAGCAAACTACTTTCCGACCTCTCGTTGCAACAACCTATTCAACAATCACAAAGTTGCCTAGGAACCTATGGCAATTCAAATCTACGATCATTCATCGACATCGCGTTGTTGCTAGCAAAAATTACAAAAGGAAGCAGAAAGAAATACAAACATACCCTAGGGGCACCCAAACCGGATCCATTTTTCTACAATGCCGTAAGATGCAGATGCTAAAAGGAATTAGGGATTTTAATCAGGTAGCCACCCAAAACCTAGGGAGAAAAGAAACAGAGAGAGAGAGAGTTGAAGGAGAAACCTTTTCAAGAACATGACATCCGCAACGACAATGAAGAGCAGCACCTCTTTTTATCTTCTTGGGCTAATTGGACGATGTGTGTAAAGTAAAGACGCTGGAATCAGGGTTTAGTTAAGGATGAATGATGACAGAAATTTGTCGATATGACAAAAACGATGTGCTATACTCGTGTATTATTGATATATTCTTCTTCTTCTGATTCAGAACATTATGAATCGATGTGACAAAGATGGTGAGAGAGATGACGATGATGATGATCTGACCCTACTACTCTCCGTGGGTGTGCGCGCGCGTGGGCGTGTTTATGTACCAGCGTCTAACTCCGCTTAGCTCTTGGGCCCAAGGGACTTGTAGATGGAGCATGTTTTGGGCCAAAGAGTATATTACATATATGGGTATTAGGAAATAGAAATGTGGCCTAATCATTATAAATTTACAAAAGGACAACAAACTCTTTTTTTTTCTTTTTTCTGACAGCGAACTAATACGGTATCCGGTAAATTGATACTAATAACAAATAAATAGTCGATACAATTGATGTCTTCTTCTAAAGCATGTTGTAAGTAGTAGCATATAGGCCGGAGGATATTGACTGAGTGAAGAATTCCCCATAAAATAAAGGGACCGTTTTAGCAAATTGTTGTAGGCTACTAGCATATGAAACCCAAGTAGTACGCTGTACAGCATCCAATAGAGTTTTAATAAGTGAATCTATATATCGGGGAATCGGAACTTGCTGGGGTTTCATACTTTCTGCTGGTTCACCTTAGTGGACACTCAGACCGACCGACCGACCGACCGACCGACCGACCGGCTAGTGTGTGTTTGTGTGTGTGTGCGCGCTCGCTCCCACCGCCGCTGCCGCCCGCCAACCCTTCTGCATTCTCCATATCTGGTAACCTATCGTAGCTTTTTTTTTTTTTTTTTTGCATGTAAAACATGTTTTTGCTATTTTGTGCCTTTGAATTGGTTGTATTTTATGAGATTGCGGAAATAATCAATCTGTTCTTTTTTTTTTTAAGGAAAAATTATGTCTCCTTTCTCAATTTATATTTATTGTTCCTAAATGACTCCTGTTGTTTGTTAACAACAAATACTCTCCGTTCTGGGGACCTGCTTTTGCTGTCATGTGACTATGCTGACTGTGTGAGTGACGACCTAGTTTTTATCCTTTTTGAGTTTTTAGCAAAGTTCATTCAGCACAATTTCCTTCGGAACTGAAAGAAAGCAATCCTTGTTTGCTTGCTTGGTTATACTCTTTGTGGGTCTCAACTCAACCTTCTCTTTTTTTTTTCCTTTTTTTTTTTTCACTAATCACTCCTGGTTTTCTAATGTTTGATTTCAGCTGAAAACTATACATCTTGTTCCTCTCGGTTTTTATCACTACACGTGGTATATCTTGCAGTATCCTTTCTTTAAACGGTTATTGGCCGTGAATGGTACAATTTCCCGAATGTCAATGCTTGTGTCTCATTCCTCCTTTGAGAACCTTGTTAGTATTGAGTACCGCCATCTGTTTTTTTATGGTGCTTCACCACTTGTGCTTAAGTAAAAGAGATCATTTTACAGATAAAATTATTTCGGATTTTTCCAATAGAGCTCCTTCCTGTGCGAATCCATTACCTAGGGTTCTGCAGTTTCAGGCCTTATGTTTTCTACCTTGCCTTATAAGAGGCTTTTCTTCGCCCCTCAAATTGGTTATAGCCTAAATTCGTTTATCATTCTCGATTAGGTCAAAGCCTACAAAAAATAAAAAAAAATTAAAAAATGCAAACCAATCAGCTTAACTTTTCCATAACAAGATAATTCAGGTCAAATGGCTTCCTCTTACCTTAAAAGAAGCCAGGGTTTTGTAACATAGTCGATAGTCCCATGCAAAATGCAACACAGGATTTACTGGGGTACTCGATTTGATGGTCTTTGCTTATTTAGCTGTAATCAATCACTGGACCATTATTATTGCAATTGCCAGTATTGTCTGCTAGTTTCCTTTCTTTGTTACAATTTCTCGACTCTACATTGTGTGAGAGTTTTTGCTGTATGTTCTAAAACCACCTGCATCGTCTTGTACGCTATAATCCTTTTGTTTATATCTCCTTTTCTGTTTCATCAATGTTTGTCATGCAGAAATTGAATTGTCGCCCTAGATTACCACTATCCTGACGTAAAAGTTGTTCTCAGATTCAGGGTGATTTCATAATGTCCGCCTTGGATGAAATGGGAACTAGAGCCTCTTCTCAGCTAGAGTCAGTTGTCTACAATTCAAAGGTACTTAGGCATATCTCACTTAACTACCTAGGTATTTGCTTTCGGCATGTAGTTTTTGCTGATTTGGATTTGCCTCGAATTCATTTAACTGCAGAAGCTAGAAGATGACATACATTCTCTTGGCCTGAAAATCAAACAACACGAGGAGAACATCAATTTTCTAAAGCGTCAAAAACACCTTGTTGATGACAAAATTGTGGACATGCAAGGTATGTGCTTTCCTCATTTCATTGCTGGGGGATGCAGTGTTAATATCACTTTTAAGCTCCACCTATCTACTCAGAAAGATAAAGTGTGTTTAATGCTGGATAATTAACTAATCTTGGTCGTATATTTCTTCTCCTTTTTTGGATGTTAAACTGTTGCCTGTTCGGTAATTTATATTTCTTCTCCTTTTTTGGATGTTAAACAGTTGCCTATTCGGTAATTTCCCAATTCAAGCATTGATCTAGATTCAGTCTGCATGATCGTATGTATTGTTGCCTCGAATGGAAATTCTGAGGAGATTATTTAGTTTACTCCTAGTTTGCCTCCTCGGCTATCTCTTCTAGCCATTTGCCAGTCTTTATCTACTGATAACTTCATCTTTATTCAGTTGCTCTTGGGAAGTATCACTCGGCTGATGCACATACATCAGATAATGGGGATCCTTTTAATAAGCATGGTGAAGAGGAGACAGTTGAACAAATCTTAAAAACTGAGAATACTGCAGCTGCTCTATTGTGTCAGTTGAAAATTCAACACGCTTCCCAGGATTCTCAATTCTCATGGATGAAAGACGTTATTGGTGTTGTTGCTACAATTGGAAGAGTTGAAGACGAAAACCTTAGCTGGTTTGTCTGATATAAACTCAAAACATTATTTGTGCACTCAAGAACTTGTTCCTTTTCCATATATGTTTGGTAGATATGCTGTGACATTATGTTTGTTTTCTTGTATTACGTTCCATTGGGTTCATGATATCTACACCATGACGTAATGGCTAGGTTTTGCCTTTCAGCATATTTACAATTGGCAGATCAAGTTTCTTCTTTGACTTTATTTTTGTCCTGTAAATACTGGTAGAACAGATGATAATGGATCTTGGAGATCATCCGATTCTTGGATTTGATAATTTCTTGTGTTAAACACTGAATCAAACAGGATTTTGTCGGAGTATTTGGGAACAGAGACCATGCAAGCCGTTGTTTGCAGAACGCATACTTGTGTCAAATCTCTGGAAATGTATGATAAAGATGGTCGTGTTAATGAAACTTCTGGTCTTTATGGGTTTGGAGCTTCCATTGGAAAAACTTTAGAGGGTCGATTTCTTGCTATTTGTCTGGAGAATATGAGGTTTGCAGTTGCCTGATCTTGCATTACTTGAATGTGTTCACAGAATATTTCTTTTTTCTCCTTTTAACATTTCTTCTGGGCTTGTATATAGGCCATATGTTGGAGATTTTGTGGCTGATGATCCTCAAAGGAGGCTTGATCTTCTCAAGCCGAAATTGCCAACTGGAGAAACTCCTTCCGGCTTTTTGGGGTTTGCTGTGAATATGATCAACATCGACCATAGCAATTTATACTTCGTCACCACTAATGGTCTTGGTTTGCGAGAGACTCTTTTTTTCAACCTTTTTTCCTACTTGCAAGTGTACAAAACGAGGGAAGATATGTTACAGGCTCTCCCTCTCATTGTTGATGGTGCTGTTTCATTGGATGGTGGGATTATCACAAGTAAGGGTATGTTTTACCTGGGAAAACGGTAAGAAAGTTTATCCTGAAGGTTTTGGAAAGCATTCTATCTATATTGGTCCTTTTATTTTATTTTTTTCTTTATTATCTTGTGTTTGCAGGACTGATGTAGGTCTGAAATTTCCCAAGTGCTCAAGATCTGTTGTACCTGATACCTATTTTGTTGATGAAACTGCAATGAAGGAAGAAAAATGGAAAAGGGAAAGATTGCAGGACGATATACGGAGAGAACAAATAGTATTGGACCAAACAAAGTTCAATTATGAAATAAAAAAGCAAGAGTTTTTGAAGATGCTTGCCCAGTGCTCAACTTATGCTACTAATCAGGTAATTTATTAAGATTTCTGATTTGCACCTATTATAAAGGAGTAATTATTATCACACCTGGATAATTTTGTTCATTTTTGGCACTCAAATTTTATGCATAAAATGATAAAATGGTAAAAAAAAAAAAGGAAATAGAAAAAAGAATGCAATTTTCATCTGTGTACGCCTTATTACTCTTGTTCAACTAATCATATGGTGGTGCTATACATGCAGCAACTGCATCAGCCTGCTCGTGTGAGATAATATTAGGGAAGCTACAGTTGAGATCCAGGATGAGATATCATAAGCATCTTAAAGATGGAAGCGGCTCCTATTACAACTGATCGCTCGAGCCTAGATGTCATTTTGTACAAGGCCTTGTTCTGTCTTCATTATCTGGTTATTATCATTATTATTGTTATTGTTATCTTGTATGACAACCTTGTTCTCTTGACCAACTCAAATTTGAAGCTTAAAATGCAAATTCTCGTCATTCTTATTTTGTGGGTTTGTAGTCTTTGTGTGTGTGTGTGTGTGTGTGTGTGTGTGAAAAGGAATGCTGGTTTATGAATGAATGGGAAGATTTTCCAGCAATCCGTAGCCTTTCTTTACTGCACCTACATGGTTAGAAAAATCTTATTAGATACTTGCCATTTTTATGTCTTCCTAGAAAAGATTCTGGAACATGAATGCACCTTTATCATCTTAGATTAACAACGCAATTATGCCACTTCTTGATATTGATAATGAACAGCTTCTCAAAGTGGGTGGTCGTGTGAGACGAGATGTTTCAATGCAGGCTGAGAGAAATGATCTAAGAAGAAATATAACCATTCATTAGTAAAGCAAATGTCAAATTACCTTACACCTTCTATTCAAATGATTACTAATTTTCATCTACAGATTTAGAAAAGAAAGGAGGATTTTATAATGCATATCTTGCATGTTATGACCTTGTTCTTGTCATGCAAATTCTGGTCATCCATCAAGCTTTACTCCATCAGCGCTTTCTGATTTCTCTTCCTTTATCAGACACTTCTTCTAAAGCATGACGTGTAATGGTATCAGTGCAGTCCCTTCTGACCATTCCATCGTCATCAAGCTTACTCGTTTTCTGAAAATCCTCGGGTGTTTTTAGATGTAGTAGTAGTAGTCTTCTTTTGTTGTTGCTTCAAGGATCATTTGCTTGGAATTATTGACGGGATCATCTCCAATACTGCTGCTAAATTTTGGCCTCTGATCTTTTGCCTGCTTAATTCTCTCTTGATTGAAGAAGAGAACTCACTGGTAATCGTTCATTCCTCACGACCTCCATTTGCATCTCGGTGGACAACTCTTTGCTGTCTAACATGTAACATAACAGCTTCTTACCCGCTTTTGTCAGATCAGGGTGCTCCTGAATCCATTATATAAAAGTTTATGAAGGGGTGTTCTTATTCCAAGGCTCTAAACAATGCATCTGGGAGTCAGGGTTATCATCATTTGTATGAGCGCAGTAGGTTTTTGTTATATACTTTAAGAGTTTTAGAAGATTTCAGCTTTCAATTCATGAGAAATTTTTGTGTTTTTTTGGTACCTGGAGATAGATGTTGATTGCCTTGTAAAGTTCATCATGCTCAGGGCGTGCTATTTCCGGAACAGTTGCAGCTAATGACGTTACTTGCTGCAGTGAAGTGTTTACATCAATTGCTTCCGCTTCAAGGTAAGAGTCAATGAGCTTTCCCATTTTATGATTGATCCAGCATTATTTCGTTGCCTTTCTTTCAACTGTTTTCTCCACAACTTCAAGAAACTTTCTAGGAGGGCCGTGACCAAGTAAGCATCGTAGAAGAAGATTTATCATGTTGATTATCATCAGAACAAGAATAATACGGAATCAACAGATCATTTAGTTTTGCAGACTCCAATTGATTACCAGCTCTGCGTATCAGTTCTGCTTTTGTTCCAGCAGATATTCCCCAAGAAGCCTCAACAAGAATGATATTCCATATTGGTCCATGTTGAGGTTTTTGTTGATATGGAAGCCATAAAATCAGGGAGGGTTATATTCAGAGGTTTGTGACCTTACCTTTTCAGGAGGCGTTTGTATTTTAGCCATAACGGAGTCGATACACCTTCGCAATATCCCAAGATTTTCTGACCGCTCAAGAGGAACCTTACCAGTGGACTGCATGGTGACTATGGAATCTCTCCAGCCTTCGATTATGCATGAACTGAAGAAAGCCTCTAGTTTTGGAATGAAATTCTCCTCATTAACCGTATCAGTCATCCGTAGGAACTTTACGGCAGGTACGAATTTGTTTGCACCAAGATTGATTGTGATCCGCAGCAAAATTTCGGCCAAAGTTCAAAAGCATTTTCTCCTCCCGGAATGTCATGCAGCTCAAGAGTAAGATTTCTAGAGTCCTCAGAATTATCTCCAGCACAAAGTCGCTGTAAGAGCTTTTGAAGTAGCACAAGCTGCAATTGAATCATGTATAGCAGCTAGTAATCATAGCATAAAAATTTTCAAATGTAAGTGCAAATAATATTATTTTTTCTCGTTCAAATCTTGTGATCTCTCTATTTTTCCAATTTTGGTTTCAACAAGGCTTAAGGAATTTAAACTAAACAAGAAATACCTTATGAAGAAGGTAGGTAACGTTGTTGATTCGAATGGTGAGGTCAGTTAGGACTTCTGATATAGTCCTGCATTCATGGTTACATTTTGCTCCACACTGTAAATTAATTAGGTTTCTTCAAGTTAAATAAATAATTACATTCTGGTCTGGTTCCGAGTTTCATGTATTTCATTCTTTCTTCTTTGATTACATTCCATTTCCAACACAAACTAGCAATCATTGGGTTTGCACTTGCCACTGTTGATGATAGGTTACATAAGAGAGACAGAAGACCCGGAATAAACCTTTAAAGATGATGTAGAATTACTAATAATGTAATTTTCAAAGCCCCTTTCACAGACGACGACAGCAACAGCAACTCAGTGAGGGATCCAAGAGGAAAGTTGCCTAATGCAAAAGCTCTTAAGTGGTGTAAACAGGATACAGGTTGTATCTATTGATCTATCTTTCATCTTTCTCATCACACTTCTCCCCACTCGCGCCAGACTTTTTTGCCTTGATTACACATGTATACTCCCTCCTTCCCGAAATTCGGGTCATGCTTACGGACTTTTTGCCTTGATTTATGAGTCAGTCGTATTGTGGGATGGAGGGACACCATATATTCTTTCTCCTTTTAACTTTCATTGCTCTCCCAAAACTTCCAAGAACATGCAGAGATTCAGGCAGAGTCTGTAGCTGATGAGACTTGATGTCTGCCACCGTTCCTGTTTTCTGTATTACAATTGACATTTCAGACCGCACAAAATCATGGAGTATTTGACAAGTAATGTAGAATAAAGTGAAATAGAATGGCCGGGCTTCATCACTAGTTGAATTCAGATGTGTGATGCATTTCTGATCATCTGCCACCTAATATTATTGTTTTACAGGTAACTTTTTCCCCTCGAATTGCTAACAACTTCCAAGGCCATTTTTTGAGTTTTTCAGCTTTGTCTGTATCACATAAGGTAACTATTGCATTTAGCGAGGTGAAGACTGAAGAGCATTAGTACTAGTGCATTTGAAAGATGGAGATCGTGGAATGGAAGAGATTGCACTAATTGATCGAACATGCATACATATGAATCTATCTTCCCGTCTTAATCCCAGTCTGGGAGACCAAGACATACACTTTTGGACTCCTCCATGTATTGCCTTACACTGATAATTCTCCACTACAAACAATAAACAAACATCATGCTTTTACATTAATGCGTCTTCTCGGTCAGGTCAAAGACCTACATTCGTTTGTTTTCAATTGAAAATTTCCTAATCATCTCACTGTTCAAAGTTTAGATGAACGATTTAGAATCGTGTACTGACCAAAATCATTCGTCCTCTGAAGAGACCCCCAAAGATGGTAATCTGAGGAATGGGAAATTTACAAACGCGGGAACTCGACAAGCTCCATCAAGGTCTTAAAATGAATGGTAGAAAGCAGTGCCACTCACAAAGTCTTTGAAGAATCCATCATCTTATTGTCAAAATATCAAAATCATCCGGAAACAACAATACTAATCTGGTAGCAGCAGCAGCAGCAGCTTAAAACCTCTATTCCACTCTTTCACATGCTTCAACCTCCAACTTCCGATCCTTGCAGTAGTAAAATGGACAAGCACCTCGGCTCCGCCAAAGAAATTCAATACATTCCAGCCATGACAGAATAGATAATTGCTGCCAATGATGTGTGATGGTCGGGTAACTCTGGTGATCCTGCAGGTCAAAACCCGAACAAGGAACAATGGAAATAGAAGGCCTTCATATGTTCTCAATATGCTGCAGGTAGTTATGGTAACTGTGCTGGAGGCGGTCGCTGAATCCTGCAATGTAGGGCTCTTAACTTCCAAAGGGGAGCCGCCAATTCCAGAATAGACTTCTTTTGGCTGATTCTCCATGAGATACTTCAGTCTTCATCTGCTCTCAGAACAGCAGTAATGATGACATCAAGTCTTCAACTAAGGCAAGAAGAACTTGACACGGATGAGAACCGAAGCTGATGAAGAAAATCATTGCAATGTGGAGCTTACAAATAGTCAGAAATTTATCAAAGTAGGTAACTGACAACTTTTTCTCAAAGGTGCTTTTGGTTTGTCTCACATTTTACTAAATTTTCTTGACCTCTTACTAAATCTAATCTCTTTTTCGGCATCTTAGTCTCTCCAGGGACAAGAGGACAGATCCCTAAACAACTGAGGAGCATTCCAATGTGAACTCAAAGAGTGCAAGAGATACCAAACTGGCAGCTCAGCTCAAATGGCTGGTCTAGAACTTAGAGCATTAAACTTGACTCTATGTAACTATTTCAGCCAAACAAAACAGCAGCAAATCACTCTACAAAAGTGATATTCCACTAATGGCATAGAACCATCACTGGAAAATCGGAGGCCATGAGAAATGCATAAAAAAAGGTACGTCTTGTTGTCAACAAAATAAAGATATCACCATAAAGCAAGTGCAAAGCTTCTTGTAATCCTAAGCAAAATTCACAAAGTAACTACAAAATTTTCTAGTTTTTTTGGGAAGTGAGGATACTTCGCACTAACCAAGAAATACTAGCCTCAATGCTATTTCTATCAATCCTCTGTTTTATACAGGTTCAAATCTTGCGCGGATCAGGGTTTGAACATGAAGAATCCTTGAAAAGGCATTCAAGAGTACACGATATAACACGAACTTTGGTCCATTTACAGAAAAAGAGTACATCCTGTCATCTTCTTAGAGATATCTGGCTTTCCAGTTTCCCAAATGCACAAGGCCCCCAAAAAGACATAACTCATCAATAGCCAAAAACTAGCCAAATAAATCATCATCATCATCATTTTCGTTTCTATTAGAGGCAGCATCTGCTTTCCCTTCCGGATCACCACTCGAAGGTACTTCTCTCCCATCACCTGATTTAACAGATGAGTATGCCCAAGAGGAACCAACTTTGGCAGAAAACGGTTCTCCATAAAGACCATCATAAATTCCACTGCCCTTTTTTGATGGAGGAGGAGCTTTTACCTTGTTGAGAACCTGCTTCAGTTTTTCGGTGACACCCGTCTGAGAAATGCTAACTTCCTTTGCAGATGACTGTTCCTTCCCTTTTGGGATCACTGTAATTTGTACAAGAGACTCGTATTTTCCGACAAGACTCCCTTCTTTAACACCCACTGGACCAGGCTCAGTTTCTACGTCAAATCCGTCAGAAACTCCAACTACCTCAAGCAATTGCCCCCCTACTTGATCCCTAAAACCAACTTTTATTTTCCTAATCCGTTTGGCCGCCCTCTCGTGGTTGTCGTTTCCCCTCAACAAGCTACCCAAATCAGAATTGTTGGTAGAGTCACTTGGCAGGCCCAGCCCGTAACGGTTTAGATACGTGTTATAAGCCAAAACAGCTTCTTCATCTGAAGGATCGGGAGGCGGGGGAATGTTGATCTCAGTAGGTGGTACAGGAGGAAAAAGTGCTGCATCATTCTTTCTCAAAATATATGTTCTTGTAGACGCCGCAAACCGTAGAGACTGCCCAACCTCAAGTTCAACAGGAGAATCTTTGGTCAACCGCTCGTTCGCGACAAAAGTGCCATGTGCAGATCCCAAATCAATAACATATATGCTGCAACAAGAAGTAACGAACTTCAGCTTGCTTCTTCTTCACATTAGAGATACAATATCTATCATCTTTTAGTAAGAACCAGAAAAAACATGGTTAAGTGTACAGCCCTAGTTAATTTTAGAAATTTCTGTAATCTTAACAGACTAAAATGGTTCAGGCATGTGCATGGGAGACATGTGGATGCTCCAGTAAGCCGAGTTGGAAACACTCACTCAAACTAAAAGGGAAGGAGAAAACCTTTAGAAAAAACTGGGAAAAAAATTATGAAAAAAGCCATTAAGTGTTCAAATTTAGATGCAAATATGTCTGGACTGAGCACGATGGTAAACACATAATCCATAAAACAGACCCTGCATAACGGGTTAAAAGGTTCTTCTTCTTCTTTTTCGTCTGGTAATATCCAGCAAAGTATTCCAAGAACAAAGTTAGGAACATAAAGATTAAAGAACTGCAGACCTGTACCTTCCATTTTTGTGAGGAACGACAGCTGCATGCTGCCTAGAGACAGACTGGTGGTCAAGCACAAAATCACAAGTTTGGAGCTGTCGTCCAAAAATATTCCTGCGCTTATCCAAGTTAACCTTATCAAGAACCTCTCCATCCTTAATGACTTCGAGATAATAGACACCAGAACGTGGTTCAATGGCCCAATCTGGAGGTTGCCAAGCTGACTGACCCCCTCCCATCTGAGTGAAATTGTGGTTTGGTGCAACTTCTGGCCCTACCGGCTTTTCTGAGATAGGCGGTTGGAAGTCATATTGAGTTTGCAGTTGCTGAGAAATAGCCGACGAAGGCTTGTTGGAAAGAGATTTAGCGGCAGTTTTAGTAGCATTGGAAGCAGCTGCACTATTTGTGCTGACAGAAAATGGCTCCAAAGAGTGAGCTTTCCTAAAACGATCAAGACCCCCTCTTCCATACATATTATCAACAGTCTCTCAGAGTTACCCTCCAATTAAATCTACAGCAAGTGTAGACACCACATCACCTTCATCTTCAAGTAGTCATAGCAACATGGCACATATTACTGAGAAAATGATCCCCAGCATGGCCAGTACGCCGTTTAACCTAGTTTCATCAAAATCATTACAGAAATTTTAAAAAAAAAAAAAAAAACACATTAGGATGCACTTAATGAATGAGTTTGTCCATCTTTTACGTTCCCAATACATTTCAAATTATCAATGCAAAAAACACACGCAAAGACATTTGAAACTATATTATCCCCAAAAAGAAATCCCAGAATGAAGTTCGAACATTACTCTACCAAGTAATTATAGGTCCGAATCCAATCAAAAAACGGTACAGCTCAAGGTTCATAAGAGTAAAAGACACAAACTTTAAACCACAATAAGCCAGCATTAAGATGCGTAAAATCCAAATTTAAAAGGAAAGAAAAAACTCAAATTCTAAAAGTTACAAAACAGAGCAAAAATCATGCTGAACTAGTCCCAAAAACATAATAAGAAGTAAAGGGATGAAACTGTGAAGCAGAAATTATTGAAAAATTAAAAGATGCATTGCAATATAACAAGCTCGGAGTAAAGTACCTTCACAGAAGTAGCCCACCACCAAGAACCCTGCTTTAAGAGCTTAGAAGTCCCTTCATCATCTTTTTTTCCCCGGTACGTATCCAGCAGTATAAATAAATCAGATCTTTGTTGAGAGGGCGGAGGGTTTATCTTAGATTCTTGAGACCTAAGTAGAAAGAAGATTAAGGAGAAGAAGATGAAGAAGGAAAGGGGCGAATATGACCAAAATCGGATTACAAACCATAGGGCATCTACTAGACCGGGGCCGCAGAACCGGAGTAAATAATAATACTTTGATTTCGGTTCTTACTTACCCTGATAATTATCATAATTACAAAAACGTTTCGCATAATTTTATGATATTTGTACCCTTGCTAATTGTTCTTTGGACAAATCTCTGTTTTGGTTCTCAAAGTTTGGGGCGTAGCTTGACCGAGTCACTAATAATTTTTTTAACCAAATTTTATTCTCACTACTTTTGATCTTTTTAACGGGTTTTGGAGAAATTTAACGGAAGATGTCCTTCCCCCGTCAATAGCTCAATATTATATTATTTTCTTATTAATTGTGGACCCCATTGTCTTTGACCTCCCCCAAAAAAAAAAAAATTAAAGGGAAAAAAAATACTACTTGCTCCTCCTACGCGCACCCTTTCTCTCTATTCACCCAATAATTTTAGAATGGATTAAAACCAACAGTCCTTTCAATTACGATTAATAACTCGGGGATCTTTGATCTCCGTGTGTGCTTCTCTGTGTGAGTGTTTGTACTTTCTTTTGGATATACCATTGTTCATTATCATCGTTAACATCAACACCATTGTCGTGAAGGATACTTCCGCCGTTCCTTATTGAAGGCTTTTTGAGACGTGGGTTTTGATAATCATTTTTGTTGTTTTAATGGGCTGTGAAGATACAAAGGATCTGTTCCTGGGTTTATACGGAAATTTAGAGGTGACTCGACCCGATCCGCAACTTGGCGGGGCAACCCTTGATGGCTTTCCACCATTTTTTTTTGTTTTTTAGGGAGAGCAACTTGGTTTGCAGCCATGGCAGTGTCTAAGTCTCCATATTGTCCAATCTAACGGATCAGGACTTTAGTTTTTGTCCGTTTCATTGAACCAGACAAAATATTTATCGGATTGTCCCAGATTTCTATCAATTATTATGAGTGAACTGGGTTTTTGAATTTTTGTTTTTGGAGATCCTTATTTTCTTCGTTGTAGTACAGTAGTATAATACAAATGAGTATCCATTCCATTTGTTATTTTTTGAGAAAGAAAAAATTTTCTTCTTTGTCCCCGACTTCTGTTTTTCTTCGGCTTGCATTTCAATTCTAAAATAAAGATCTGCCTTTTTTTTTTTTTTTGAGGATTCTGTTTGTGCTTCTCCATTTGACATTGCAATTTTGTGTTCTTGAATGAAATCTTGATTTGAATGGTTCACCAGTTCGAAACGATTATTCCTTGAGAAAAAAAAAAGAGGTGATGATTTGAGCCTGGGGGGCGGAGGAGGTTATCGCAGAGGACGAGGAAGAGGAGGAAGGAATATTTTTCTTTCTTTTCAATTTTTGAAAAAAAAAATATTTTTTTGGTCAAAGATCAGTGGACCCACAGTCATCAGGAAAATGATAAAATATTGATCTATTGACGGAGGAATAACATCTTCCGTTAAATTCCTCTAATATCCGTTAAAAAGATCAAAATTGGTGAAAATATAACTTTTTAAGGATTAATATTGGTGAAGAAAAATTAATGATGACTCGGTCGGACTACTCCCAAACTTTGAGGACCAAAATAGGGATTTGTCCTTGTTCTTTGGTGGTAATAATCATTTTAATGTTTTGGATTTAAGATAACGACTACTGGAATTGCACACATTTCGCAAATATTAGGATTAATAAAATGTTATCAAATTAATATGAAGTATTAAAATAGATGTGAGACATGATAATTGGATTAATAAAAAATTATCAAATTAATATGAAGTATTAAAATCTTACTATGTTAGAAACAAAAATCACACTTTAGAGAAAGCACAACCATTTGCCATGTGCCATTTTCACATCATATTTTTAAAATAAATTTTTATTTACACATCTCCTAGACTTAAAAGGCAAATATAGTCCAAATCCACCTTCACCTCCTATTTTCGCCCAAAAAAAAAAAAAAACCACGTGTTCATAAAAAACCCAAATCCTCATCCCCATTTCCACAACAATCGACTCCCTAATCAATCTCTTCTCCACAATCAAAAAAAAAAAAAAAACAAATTTCGAGTTAGTGATGATCAACTACATCCTAATCTGATAAAATTTCGAGTTCAAAAAATATTCTCTTTTACCTCACTATATAAAACAAAGGAAAAAAAAAATTCTCATTGATCTTGCTTCGGCCATTATGGTGGTGCCATTACAGGTATTAAAATTTAAATGATTTTATTTCCGCAGATCATTTGTTTGGCTTTTATTATTTTTTGTTTTTCCCGTTCAAGAATAGTGTTATTACTATTATTTTTATGCGTCCATCCGTTATAGCTACCGTAGCCGTTATCAGGTAATATGATGTGATTTCATATATTGTTAGTTAGCTTAGAATTTTTGCATGATTTTAGTTCTGTTTGGATTGAATTAATTAATTGGGTTTTTGTTACAAAGTGTGATTTTTTAAATTTCTTTTTTATGTTTCATTCAATTAGACTGGTTTTTTTTTTTAATTATAGAGTCTCAGGTTTTTTTTCGTATATGGTCAATTATGAAGTGTGTTTTTTTCTTTGTTTAATTGTTTTTTATTTTATTTCATATTCCCAGTTGACCAAATATTATTATTATTATTATTTTATTTTATTTACAAATGAAGCGCTTTTTTGGTGTTCGGTCTCTCAAGAATATACTTGGATTTGGTTTTTGAACTTTTTTTAGTTCCTCATCATATAAATAGTTCAGGTCGCTTCTTCTAACTAATTTATGGGGAAACTTTTTATGAATTTGAGATGGAGAGAGAAGGAATGATTTTTCTACGTTTATTTGTGTTTTTATACATCATTTTTACCTACAGAAAAAAATAAATTTCTCAATTTTTAATGAGCTAACTTTTACTTCTTTTTTTTTTAATTTGCCATGGTGAGGTGAGTTCTTTTTTACTATAACTTGAAACCTATGTAAATTTACATTATTTTCATTCTCATATTTGTGATCAACCAGTTTCAACAATTAACCAATTTCAAAATCATATTTTTGATATTTTACTACCTATAAACTTTTGGAAGAAATAATTTCAACAATTAAGCGTATACCCTTTGGAGGAAGCTTACTACAAAACTATTATAAATCTCCAAAACTAAGTATTGATTTGGCACAACTAATGGAGAACATCAATAAATTATTTTACTAATATTTAAACTTTTGAGGATGCTTTTATATTTTGTCTTGCATTTACTTCAAGACATATATTTGATCAAGTTTATTTATATTTAAGAAGTAACACTTATAAAACATTTTTTAAATCTTCAAATTTTTCTAAAAAGTACCAGACCAAATACAATTTCTTTTTATGCAAAATACAAACATTTCTATGATCACACTTATAAAACATTTCTAAATTCTTCAAACATTTCTAAAATATATCGGCCCAAATACAAAATAGTTTTTTTTCCAGATACAAACATTTCTAAAATCTACAGATATATTGGGCCAGGGTCGTGCATTGCGCGACCAGACATCACTAGTATATGTGAGACGCAATAATATAAAATAAAAAATTCAATTTTTTTTAAGTATTGTCGGAAACCCCACCAGAGATGGGTAAGTCTATGTCCGTTGCAATATTCTGCAAATCACTGTGGAAGATATATTACCATACACAAACTCTGGGAAATAAGTTTGGGTGCGAAATCCGAAATTTATGTACGGGATTACCATAACAAGCTTTTAGAGGGTTAAGGTAAAACCACCTCTCACTCTTGCTGGAGTGGGATACTACATTTAAAAGTAAGGTGGTTTTACCCCCCAAAAAAAATCAAATATAAATATTAGAGAGGTTATACAAAATATTAAAAAGAAAATTATACTGTGAATTTCTATTTTCCAAAACATTTACACAAAACACCATTCAAAATTTAATATATTTACAATTAATGAAAATTTGATGACAGGATAACTATCATCACATCATACCACCTGCGTCAACAAACTTCTAAACTCAACAAATTACCATCCAAAAAGAAAATGTATGGATGGCGATATTGTTATAGCAAAAATTAGCCGCCAAAGCATTATATAATTATTTCCTAAACCACCCCTCCCTTAATCAAACACTTTACCTTTTCCCTCTTTCTCTTCGTTTCTCAGTTTCTCTCTGAGTTTACCTGTTCAACTATTAATCTAATCACCCAAAACCTATGGAATTTTAACAAAATTTAACTTGAAATTTAACTACACCATGAAGGTTCTTATACCACATCAGCAGCGACAACAACTCTTGAAACTTTCTGTCTCTTTTGCCCCAGATATCATGTCGGTACTTTATCTTTCTTGCAGACAAATCACATAATTATTATTATTGGTAGTAAATTGCAAATGTCAAGTTCGATTAGATGGCGAAGGGGGAATTGCTCACCCTTTTTAATCTCAAATTGCACCGGTGAAACATACTCCTATAACATGTAAAGCTCGGTAAAAGTTCGTACTAATTTTTGAGACAACTGAATAAATGAAGAGGCCACCACACGAAATCTTTTTTTCCATCTTATACTTTTTCTTTTGGCTCTTTGATTTTGTTTATGTGGTTCTCTTGTTTTTGTGTTGTGTTCTAGTTCAAGTTGTCTTGCTTCTAGTCTTAGGATTGAATGGAATTCCTTTTTGTTAATAAACATTTGTAAAGCTTGTACATAAAAATTGTTTGCCTTCTAAGTTCTTTCAAATCTATAGGCTTGTGTTCTTCCTTCGAAATCCATTTAGGTTAGCATTTGGAATTCGAGCATGAGTTAATTAACCTCATAAAAAGACCTTTGAATCAATTAACCTCATAAACATTTGGCACATTGTTGTTTAAACGTTAGCACCACCTCAAAATACATATAAACTACTCAACATTTTTTTTTTCTACTATTCCCTTGTGAATTGAGAACCAAATATTATGAAGCCACAACATAAGTAAGGCAGTATTAGATTGAACTGTGTAATCCACTGTACTTGTTGAGTCAGAGAATTAACAAAGAATACAAATTTTTAGCCTTTTAAATTATACTGCATGGTACATCAGATCACTCCAAGGAAATTAACTTAAAAAAAAAAAAAAAAAAGCTCCTGAGGATCATCTGATCTGCTTCAAACTCATAAAACCCAGTGCAACCAGCGAACCACTTCAACCTAAAAGAAAAAACCATGGAATATCCAACAACAGCAAGCCAGCCAGCTAGCAGGTTTGCGTCTATACTTTTCAATCTCCCACAGAAGCCACTCCTCCTCCTCCTCCTCCTCCTCCTCCTCCATTTCTTCACACACAACCCCAATTACTATGTGAAAAATAGGAATACTAGAACTGTATTACAGACTTACAGTATTGTACAATGTCGCTCGGCTTGGATATCCGTTTTTTGTCCCGTTGGATATCCGTTTGCACCACCACAAAAGGACAGGATTCACTCATCATTAAATGTTGAGGCTTCCTTCTCGAATTCATCGCAGGATACATGACTGAATGAAAAGATCTCTCAAACAACTTTCCACTCCATTCCATTTCATTTTCCAGCAGTAACAAATTCCTTTTCAAGTACGCTGAACATGACCAATAAGCGCTCTTGCAGGTTCATTAGAATGTTCTTTGTGATCCTTTTCTGGTGTCTGGTATACTTTAACCAAGCGATTCCAAAATATACTTGAACGTTACATGCCATTGATCTTGAGGGTACATCCTCAACCTGGTATCTAAGGTGAAGCTGCAACAACAATCCCAAAAACAAAAGGTAATCTTAAAATAATAATAATAATAATAATAATAATAATAATAATAATAATAAGAATAATATGAAGAAGAAGAAGAAGAAATTTGACAATAAATTCTTTACGCTGAAATAATCGCCAAGCGGGACTCCATGGAGGGTCATAACCTCTTCAACAAGCCAACCGTTTCTATCAGGGAGGTGTGATTTCTGCTGAGTACTCGTCACTTCTCCTCTATACCGAGAGATGCGTTTATCAAATTTGTAGTAAAGCTGTCTTTGGAAAACATCAGGCTTCTGCTCAGACTCCCAGGGGCTGTAAGAGTAATTAACACAGCCAGCTCTCTCCATAACCCTACGATCAAGCTCATTGCCTCCAAATAACTCCATAAAGAAACTCGTCTGCAAGAAAAAAAAAAGAACAAAACAGATTGATTCTTTTGATTATTCAATCACATGAGGAGACACGTTATCGAGAATGAGAACATTGAAGGGAATATAATACTCACAGGAATAGAAAGAACAGAAGAATAAACCAGAGACATGCTAACATCCTCAACGCCTAAAAATGACCCGCTCTCTTCTGTTTGGAGAGTTTTGGATTCGGAGTCGTCATCCATGTCTTGAAGGGATTTTGCAATTGAATCCTCTTCAGAAGCTCGTAGACTTTTAGGGTCAGATTCTTCTTCAACTAATTGGACCTTTTGCTCGGGGCTCAGGGCCCTTGCTTTCCACAGTGCCATAATCGTTCTATTCAAACATAAAATGCAGTCAAATTAAGGAGTTTTAAGACCCGAAGTATCAACCCCTCCACACACACACACACACACACACACAAAGCAGAAACATGAAGGGAAAAATAGTTCAAGATCAAATCTTATGTCAAATCACTAAAAAGCTTCAACTAAAGAGAGCAAGAAATCACTATTCACGGAAATCATTGATTTGATGAAAATGAAAAGACAGGGGAAACTAAAAACAAACAAACAAAAAACTGGATAAGAGATTACCAAAAAATTTCTCCCAGTAGAAAATAATGCAAAGTTACTGCACGAATGAAATAGAATCATATTTTCTCAGTAAAACTCGTGTTTATGAAAAAACATTTTGGGCAGCATATCTGATTCAGTGCATCACAGTAACCACATAAAGAGAAGGTCAAACTGCAAGATGGCAGATAATATTCATCGAGTTCACTTATAAAACAGTCCATGTTCAGAATTTCACCTATTTGCCACATTAAATGACACAAACGAGTGAAAATGGAACTTCAGTCTCCCTTCTTCATCTTGTGTCTTTGCACCGTGCCTTGCATCAAAGCCCCTTCCAGGCTTTAATGTCATGACAATTATCGGACTGCCCATTGAAGACAAAGTAGGGGCAACAACTTGTATGTCCTCTATATCTTCCCAAAGGAAGAAAAACTTAGTCTTGTGCCCAAACAGATCTGCATGGAAACCAATTATTCTAGCCGACAAAAACAGGCGGCCCTGCATGTAACAATTCAAGGGTTTTGAGACATAAGGTAGTGTGACCAAATGGAACTAAAAACTGAAAAGAAAAAAGAAAAAACACCAAACAAAATGGAAGGAATACCTGAAGGGGCATCTTGCGTTTCAAGTGGCAAGTGAAGTCGTTGATGAGGAACTCTTCAGGTGGAAGGCCAAATAGCTTTTGGAATGCAGAATTTGTTTGAGGTGAGCGCAAGCGTATCTAAAGCACATTCAGAATATGAAATCAGGAGGCAGAGCCGCCAAGAAATTTGACCCAACAATTATCAAGAGATTATGATCTACTAACCTTCTTCCCCACTTCCTTCTCCATCTTTGTTAAATAATCTTTCACAACATTGCCGCCTCTTGTGTTATTCAAAAAGATTCTCAAATGTAACTTAGACTGGCAAGCCTGAGCTAACTTCCCTTGGAGAGGAACCCAAACATCAGATAAATCTGATATGTTAGTTTTTAGAAAATTAATTTCAGTGTGGCCAAGGGATGTTGCCTCGTCAAAAGGCCCATCAAAATCATAAACTTCCACTTCCAGCACAGATGGAGGATCATCCATTGCATCAAATTCAAATATTTCTACAAGCAACCCAGGTAAACAAACTAACTTTAATCCATTGAAGATGCAGCTAAGTGTCAGAAAAGATCAACAATTACTTAAAGATGTGAACATTTTGAAGGACATAAAAGCTACAGACAGGAATTTACCATTCCACAGTGGATCAGACTTCTGAAATTTTATTGAACTCGTTCTTGTTTTTCCATTGCAAGTAAAGACAACATACGGATCTGAAAAACCACTTGAATCGACAGCAGCTAAGTTGCTTCCTTCAATCAAGGCCACAGTGAGCAACCAACCATCTCCTTGTGCTTTAATTCCATGGTCACTGCCTGTAGTCAGAAAGAACATTAGCTCAAAGAACATTCATGTAGATGCAAATTGCTCGGGCACAGAAAACTGTGAAATGTCAGAAACAAGAAAGGAGCTAGAAGAAGGCAATTCTGTGGTGTGAGCAAATCATTGGAAATTAAAGGAAAAGAAGATGCCATTCAAAAGTCGACAAAATTGCCCCAGTAGATACTGCATTAAACCTCATATTTTGTTAAACTAGTATGAGCTGTGGGACCAGTAGATTACCTTTTTGTACCCTTGCCTGCATGAAGCGTGACATCAATTCAAGCACTCGTTTGCCTTGGAGAACTAATATTCCGCAGACAACCAATTCTCCAATGGAATCTGGTAAGTCTAGCCCGACAAACTCAAGCCCTTGAACTGTTCCAGGAGTGGCCAAGGAAATGTGCACAAAGATGTATAACCCCACAAGCACAGTTGATACTACAGTAAAATTAGCGAAATACTGAACTGCCAGTTTCCAATCCGATTGCTGCTCCACCTTTATAGATGCCAACACTTGTTCCTTCTCAGAAGTGATGTCTTTCAAATCAACCGTCTTTACAGTTTGCGATAGCACATTCCCGTACACCTCAAAACTATCTCTAATACCTTGCCGAGCCCCATTCTCAATCATACCTTTCATCATAGTGCTCTGCAAGAAATTAATTCGCCACGATACAACCAGCCGAGAAGACAGTTCTCCCGATGGAAGATCAGGGCCTGGAGTGATGCAGTAGAGCACTTCCACCCTAAAACTACTTCCATACGGAGCATCGGGAGTGCTCACAGAAGATAAAACTGCAAAAACCTTGCCATCGGCTATCAAGTACGTTTGCTCTTCAGTTGCTTTGAGAGCTTTGATTAATTTCGTTGCAGCTTTAATATAAGTAACCACTCTCTTTAGTTCACCCCCACCATTCTCAAATCTCCAAGGTCCTACCTGTAACTCGGTGGATCCCTGCATGTCTGTGGCAGATTTGTAAAAGTTTGAATCTTGAGCGAAGAGTAAAGAGTTCAGTTCGAGAGGCGCAATTACATACATTCGGTCCAAAACTACTCCACCAGGTAAATTGCTTGGAATTTCACCTCCTTGGTTTTTCGTTTCCATGCTTTTCATAAGTTCGTCAAAGTTATAAGAAGATGTCTCCTCATCATTATCGACATCACTAACGGGAGGATTGGCACATTCAGGCAGTTCTAACGCATCTGGAACAACTTTGGTAGTGGCTGCGTCCCCATTTTTGTTGAAAATCTGAGCAATTCGGCCAGCAAAGGTTTGGGCGTGTGTTTTGTCGTCTTTGGAAGGAGCAGCTTCTTCTAATTTTACAGGAGAAAGTGATCTTACTGGAACATTGGCAGACCTTGAAGGTGAGTCACTCCCTGCATTATCAGCATACTTCCTAGATAGTGGTAAATGATCACCAACAGCTGGTGACTCAACTAACAAATTGCTTTGTGAAAAACATATTGTGAGAAGAATTTCACCTAGTACAAAATACATACAGAATGTATTACATGATCGTCCAAAATTCTCAGCGTCCAACTACAAACTATCATGACATTATCTAACTTAAAGAAGCAGTTCAAACTACCAAGTACTCTATCATAGCATAATCTAACTCAAAGGGCAACATTAACAACATAACGAGCCTTTACCCTCTAATGGGGCTGTCTATATGGATCACATGTCACCAATGTGTTTGGTTGACACAAGTATTTTTCATTTGAATTTTAATAAACCAAGTTATTTATAATTTTTTCTTTCCAAGTTGTTTTAGATATTATCCTCCCCTTTTAATGTGAGTAAGTGGTTCTATTGTTTCAACTCATCTAACCAAGGGATTTGTAAGATTTCTACGCCCAAGTACGAACATACTACTTAAAGGAGCAAAATCATTACAATATTCCACCAAACCATATTCATTACAAACTGCATTTCCCCCTACATTTAACATTCTGTAACTATGTAACAGCAACAATATGAAGGAACCAAGAAGAAAGGAGCCGTCCTTGTCCAACCCAATGGGAAAAAAAAATTTGTTAATTTATGTAATTTCCTGATTAATCAGCAATGTAGATCTTTTGATAAAACCAAACTCATGAAAATGCCTGGAGTCATTCGATTTGACACCACACGGTATCTAGATTTTAATGAAACCAAGGCAGCAAGTAGAAGACTACCTTAACTCCAACAAACAACCACTTGGTTTTTATTCCACTAGGAAGGATCCCCAATATTGATCATCTATGGAAAATACGTTTTCATTTACATTCAAATAAATCATGTCTCTCAACTCCAAAAGAGAACAGGAAAGGGAAAAAAAAATAAAAAAAGAAGAAAGAAGACTGTTACTTTAAAGCAGTAAAGTGAGACAAAATATGAAACTGACCACAGTCCTTGGTTTTAGCCTTCTTGTTCTTGGGCAGCAGAGTGTACCAAGCAGTGCCAAGGGACTTATCAGGAGCATCAAAAACTCTAGAAACGGGGACTTTGATCTGACCAACAAAATCATCATTAAAGTACTTGTCTTCATCCAAAACAGAAACAAGGAGCTCCTCCTTCAAGTCCTCAACCCTGAAAGAGAACTCCTCACACCAAGATGGGTTCAAGCATTTCTTAACCACTTTGGTCTTATACCTCTGCTTTCCCAACTGCAACCTCACATACGGATCACTCAGCCCATTTGGGTCCATTGGTGGTATGTTTTTTCCCTCAATCACACGCACCAACAGCTTCATAACTAACAGCAATAAAGCTTTTTTAAGTGATCAAAAGCACAAACAGGTTGAGCCCAATAGGGAAGGAGGAAAGAAAGATTGTATTTTTGGGAGAGTTTTGAATCAATATGTGGGAGAGCTGAAAAGGGGTTCATCAAACTCTTCCTCAATGATCAACTGAAAGGGTTAATCAGAATGAATGAGACGAAAGAGGGAGGAATTTTTTCCTGATAAAAGAATAAAGAAAATACACACAGGCAAACACAAAATTAATAGGGAAAGGGGGAAATGCAGACGGAATTAGGTATGATTTAAAAATGGGTCCAAGAAAAGGGATTTTATTGTTTGGCTTTTGTTCAGAAAAAGGGTGGTAAGCTTTATGAAGAAGAGAATCAAAGTCAATTCTTTGTTTATGGTTTAAACCTCCTGTTGGATATGATGATCAGCGAAATAGAAGAAACAGAGAGAAATAGTAGTAGTAGAAGGGATGAGTGGAAAAGGATCAATGCCAATTAGTTTACAATCAAATAAATATTCGTGAATGAAGATGCAGCATGGATTAGCTTCTATAGCAACTTGTAAAATAGTAAGAATGATGTAAAGACTTTTCTAAATTGGATAGCAGTCTTGAAAGTTGGGAAACAAGCGCGTATCGTTCAGAGATTTGGACCAATAGACATTGCAAACGTGTAGCATTTACACTAAAGAAGAAGAAATGAATAAAAAAATATGTATATAATTAGTAGAAGTACCGTAGGAAAAACAAACGCAGACAATTTGGCGCCTCCCAGGGCAGACCAAATAAACTGTTATTGGAATTTGGTTAGCTCATCATCATCATCCTCCTCTAATTGTGGTGTTGTTTTTAGTTACTATCTTCTAATTGTTGTGTTGCAAAAACCCAAAAGAAAGGAAACCATAGCCATCAGCAATACTACCAACTTTTCACCCTTTTTTCTGATTGATTTTTTTTCCCCGTTTTTAATAGAAGGAAAGAAACAGTCAAGTCGACCAGAAGAATTGAAATGTAGTAGAATAATACTAGCTCTTTCATGAAACCAAGAAAAAGCAAAAGGCAAAAATATTACATGTATAAGCTACTATAGCGTAGACAATTCAAAGTCTGGATATTAATTAAACTGATAACAAGACCAGATGCAACACTGACTTGATTTAAACGCCGACAGATTCAAAGTCAACGAAGAAATTGCGTGGGTAGATGTTATGCGCTTTTGACTCTTCTTTAATCAATGATGATGCCTTTGATTGTAATTTTCTGTTCTGTAGATAATCTTCCGAATATAAGTAAAAAGAGATTAACTTATAGTAAGTCCTTACGATTTCAATTCACATATCAAACTAATTACTCCTTCCATCCCAAAATTATTGTCCCATTTGAATTTTCATTTTTAGTACAAATTGAACTACGAATAAAAATTCAAACCGGACAATAATTTCGAGAGAGAGAACTTGACTTGAGGCTAACTAATCACTTTAATGTTCAAGTACTTGTAGGTTTTTCCACCAGAAGAAAACGGGAATGATTCTTGAGATACAGCGGAAAAGGGGTTAAGGTGAACGAAATTCATCACTAGAAATATTAGATTAGTTCCAAAACTAATTTTTTACTTCTCATTCAACTAAATATCAAGAAAAAAGACAAACACAAGCTCACATTTTGATTCAGATTCATAATACAAATGTACTTCTAAGTTGCAAACTTCATTGACCAAATTCATCAAAACAAACAATGGTTGACATGACCTCAAACTAATCTTTGTTTCCTTTTGAACCCAAGGAAAACTAAAGCTTAAAGACTTAAACCCACAACAACAACAAAAGGGGGCCCTTCTTTTTGGCTCCTCAATGAATGCATATTCAAATATGCCTTGGCTGACTGGCTTCTTTTTATCCTTTTTTTCCTTTCTTGCTTCTGGAACATAGACAAAAATGGGTTTCTTTTCTTACTTCTGCCTCTTGTATATCTTGCCCAAGAACGACATCAATACTGCTTGCACAGCTTTGCTGGGATGAGCCTCTATGGACCCTGTCAACTTCTCATAGCTCTTGCTTTCAAACTCCGCAAACACTCCCTGAAATACAAAGAATTGTACAATTTGAGAACAAGCGACAAAGTTTTAGAGTACCCGAGGGATCATGGTGAACGTGACCGTGTTGCTTGTGAATTGAAACAATACCAGGTTTTTCAAGGTCCTAAACATGAAACTGCAGCCTTATATGCCTAGAGAGGATCTTCTCAACTTAAACTATTATACATTTTCAGTTGCACAAAAGGTTTCGCGAAAACCTTATATTCTTCTCCTCAATCCCATCTTTTACTAAAGCTTCTTAAACATCTACATTCTTCTCCTCAATCCCATCTTTTACTAAAGCTTCTTAAACATCTACGAGGCTTTTTTTCCAAGACATGCACTGAAGATGCGTCTGCCATTAGGTTTTCCGTGTCAGGTTAACTTAACAAAATCATTCAAACCTGAAGGTTGAGTTCATTATAGAGAGTTTTGACTTTCGCAACGTCTGCAGGATCTGGCTTTCCGTAGTGTGCCTGGGAATGAACACAACTTTTAGACTTGAAATCTCAATTGGAAAATCAGACAGAAGAGGAAGGCCAATGACAAGATGACATTCATGCATCCTTACATGTAGAATCTTTTTCTGTTCTTCGTTGCATTTTTCCAATGCCTTTACAACCAGCCAAGAGCATTTAAAATCTTCAATATCAGTTCCTATCTGATGACAATAAAACAGGGTGAATTGAGAAAATACTATTTTGCATATGTTACATTTTCTACTAAGAAGCAAAAGTAGGATATACTGTAACTTTCTATATGCAATCTTACCTTCCCAATCTTTTCGGGGTCACCAAAACAATCCAAATAGTCATCCTATAAAGGAGGAAAGGCATTGTCAAAGAGGAAATACTTCATACGAAAATTTATATCTACTGTACTGCTCTACTTCCATATGAAGCCCTTTTACACTTAACCAATAGAAAATTTACCTTTTATTTTGCAGATTGTGCATTATAAGGTGAAATGATCAGTGAACAAATTGTATCTGTCTGCTCAATTTTAAATAAATCTTTATTTAATTGAGAGGTGTCGGCAAACATTTCTCTATAGCTGCATCTGTTAAGTGTATATACCTGAACTTGAAAGTATATTCCCATGTCAATAAGAATGTTCTTTACATCTATATGATTATCCAAATTATCTCCAGCCATTAGCAAAGCGCATGCAACCTGTTTATTAAGGAAATGAAAATATCATTATCAGTCGACTAGCAGAAGGTTTTTGAAGATGAAGAATCACTACATTCAGAAAGGAAAAAATATACTCACAAAGAGTGAACTTTTTACTTACCGGAAGGTAAAACGAGTAATAGGCAGTCTTGTATTGAACAATCCGACGATGCCTGCAGAAGATACAAACAGAAAATATATCAAAGGACTACATCTCAAAAAAAAAAATCGATGGGCCAAGAACTATTGCAATAAACACCAAATCATAAAGACACAGAACGTGAATAACAGATATAGGATGTGAATTTAAATCAACCATCCATATTTCTGAGGAATACCCAAGCTATAAAAGTCCTTATTTTTCTATTCACAGCAGGACCCAGTACATAACCATGTATCTATTGTAGGTACAAGTACAAACGTCGTCCGATAAAGTTGACTGGATTTGAACAGATGTCAATTGTTCTAGAGGCTTTGTATTTGCAGGACAACATTTTGAAGGTTTGCATACTCACAGCGATAACGAATACTTGGATAAGTCCTTCTCTCCTTCAAGGGTAGTAATCAAATCTATCATCTGTCCCGAAGCCGTCTGGAACTCCACCTATACAAATTAGAAAGCCATAAAAGGAATCACATTAACTGAACTGAATCTTCAAACAAAAGAGCCAATTTTCCTTGCTTGCTAAGTCTCATTCGTCACCTCATTGAACAAATCCAGAAGATCCACATAGTAAGGTTTCCCTCTGAAATGCTTCTTGAGAATCCTCGGGATGTGATTCCGAAGTAGGACACCATCATTAACAGCAATCATACCAACCTAGTATAGATACACATTTTAGTAAAATTGAGGTTTGTGAATTATAATGACAACAAAAGTTAAAATAAAGAAAGAAAACAGTCCCAAAAAATTCCATTGTTTGGACAATTACCTTGGGTACTCTAAACCAGCAGGGTTGACCACGCCGAGTGTGAGAGCCATCCATAATGTCATCGAGGACAAGAAAGTATGCCTGGAGCTGACAGTTTTTTCCATGGAAAACTTATCAGTCATTTAATTTCGATGAACAACATTTAATATTGAATGAGCTCACACCAATCATCCACCTACCCATTCAATACACCAGCCCAGCGCACTTGCAAGAAATACCTCCTCTTCGGTTACCTCCTTCCCTTCTTTTAGCAGCTTGTAGCTATCAATGACGGAGAGACCTCGATTTAGCTTTCCTGCCAAATGATATTCACTGTCAGCATTTAAGACCTAGGATGGGAAAAAGAAATTTTCTTAACCAAAAAACTCAGAGAGCAAGCATAAAATAATATATCTTTGTTCTGTCCTTTCCATCTGCTTGCATTTTATCGTTTATGTATCGCTCTAAATTTAAATCAGAGAACAGCTCGTTATAACTGGATCAAGCCATACCTCCAGGCACATTGTAGTCCAGCATCTGCAATAGAATTGTGATTAAATAAATTAAAGCACAAATAATTGAAAGGGATGATGCAAACAAAAAAAAAAAGCACTTGAGTATGATCTTTGTGACATAACGTGACATCTAACAGGAAAATAAAAGCAAGTAATTAAACAGAGACATTTGATGTCCAAAAAAAAAACCTCAGATGTTCATCCATCCTGCAGCTCCAGACAAAAAGAATGCAGGAAGCTAGTGTGATGGCTACAAAAATGGTATCTTTATGCTGGTGGGGAAGAAAGATTGTCATTTTAACTTTCAAGTGCTAACGTTCTGATAAACACTGCTGCTACAACAACAACAATGGTTCCGTACCAAACAAAACAGATATACCAAAAAAGAGGAGCAGAAAAATAAAATAAATCTGCATCCCATCCTCCCTGATCACTTTGAGGGGTTGATGTTGCTGCATTGTTCTAGAGCTTTAACTGGACCAATAAAAAGAACAGCAGAACAATAATAAGCCAGTTCGTTCCTTTCTTGTTAAAGTGTTTTCAGGAGATTTCCTTCCCCATTACAGCATGACGAGACAATTGAATCAGAAGCAAAGTAATACCAAAACAAAACCAAAGGAAAAAGGAAACTAGTGTAGACGACACATCAACCAATCACACGCACCCCCAAAAAAAAAAGGAAAAGTAAAAAGCAAACGCGCGGGAGGCTCCTGATCAAGCAGGGGTGACTTGAGGGATTGGTGGATAATTTCTGCAGATCTTTGTTGACTAAAAGTAAAATGCACTAGTTAAAGACAGAAAATTTATGTCATTTTGTTTATATGTTCAAATGCTTTAAAACTTTCCCGTATTACAGTGGAAACAATCTTTGCAGAACAGGAGTAACATCATAATACGTACAAAAAAGAAGATGCAATTATGGGTCATGCAGGAAAACAACATTGCAACGTAATAGTGGGAAATTGTAAAGATGGGGGAAGTGAAGTGGAGGATAAAAATGAAGGGAACAAACCCGGTCAACCCATTGGCGAGAACCATCATCGGACCATTCAAAAGCAGGGTCATTTGAGAGCTCAGATTTGAGAACTGAATAAACTTCCAAGAATGTGGCCCTCAGATCCATTCTCCCATTTTGATTTGCTGCCATCTGTGCTTGCTTTTTGTCTTCTGATCTTCTTCACACTCCCAACACCAAACACAAATTGGTATACAGAGAGAGAGAGAGAGAGAAGAAAGAGATGGAAGGTATGAAAGGAAAAAAAAAGGAAGCCCTGCTTTCTCTCCTCTGTTTCGGAGTTCTACTCGATCAATTGGGTGTAGTAGTAGTACTTCTGACTGATTTCTTGAGTTATATTTATAGCACCAGCCTGAAGAACACCGAAGTGTAACTCTTTGGTCTTTGTTAGTGTGCGTTATTTTAATTTTTAGTATTTATACTCCTATCTTTTATTTTCTTTTTTTTTTTTGAGATTGTTTTGTGTGCATTTCTGAAACTGTTATTTTAGTATTCCATCGCCAATATTGAAGGGAAAAGAAAAGAAATGCGTGATGATGCATTGTCAAAATACATTATTAGAGTTAGAATTCTTTCTAGTATGAAATTATACAAACTTTTGAGGTGGGAATTTCATGGCATAATTAGACATGGTGTGATTTATGTTCCAAATAATAAGACACGTTTTATTGTGTGGTAGGATTTTAAAATATAAAAATGCAATTTAAGTTGAACATTGTGTTTGGGTATTAATTATCGCACTTATTATTACGGAGGAAAGAGTCGTCGTCTATGATATGAGGAAAATTTCTCATTTCTCGATTTGATGCATTGCCATATGAAAGACAGAACGCCCAAGATGCTTTTTTTTTTTTTTTTGACATTTTGGTAAAATTAATCATACTGGGCGAGAAGGCGACGAGGGTAGGAATTCAATCAATGATCTAAAAATGATCCTAGTAGACTAATAGTATTCCAATGACTTATTCTTTCTTCTTCCTCAAAGTTATCGAATAGCAGTTGAGAGTTGACACTTCTTCTGTGTGTGTGTGTAAATTGCTGACAATATATGGTAGGTTAGGTAAAACCCCACTTAATAGCATCCTTAGTTTGATCAAAATTAAATATACTAATCATGGTCGGCGTCCGCGAGTGGAGAAGTTGATTCCATTTCCATCCACTATTGGTTTGTACTACTACTGCTACAGACTCCAGTTTTAAATTTTCTGGTTTTTGTCTTCCTCCCACCCCCCAATATAAATAAAAAAAAATATTCCTCCCAGCTCACCATATACTTTTTCAGTTTTTCGGTTTTTCTTTGATTCAATCAAGAATGGATATTTGATTTTAAACAATTTCTCGAATCACAACAAACTTGCATCTCATTTTAGATAAAAACCACAACAATTTCTCCAAAGTCAAACATCTACTCCATCCGTCCTAAAATTATTGTCCAGTTTAGATTTTTGTTTTTAGTTCAAATTATACTACAACTGAAATCTCAAACTGGACAATAATTTTGAGATATAAAGAGTATCTAAATTCTCATCTCTACCAATATTTAAATTTTGTTAGATGTCCAAAGTTGGGCTTCTTTTTTTTACTACTTATTTTTCACTAACTCGTCACTATCCTGTCGACAGAGGGTTAAACAGATATATTGGACATAGTATGTGGGCCTTTTTGTCGTTTTCAGATCATTCAGGGAATTAGTTTGGGGGCTTAATCTGGGGACAGTTTGTCCTTATCCCGAAAATTAAAGGGCTGACAATGAAAATATAGAAATTAGTATTTTTCTTCTGTCCACTTGGCCATTCAGTTGGAAACAGTCGCCAGTTGCCAGCTGATAAGTGAAATGACGGCATCCGGCGGAGGAGGAGGAGGAACAAACGATGGCGCCGCCACCAACGGTGGAGATCGTTGGGACCAGCTTCTGACGTCGTATAACGTCAAACAACTACTCGATTCCGTGGACGCTTTCCTCTTCGATTGCGATGGTTTGCTGTGTTCCTTTTTCTTTTATCCCATCAATTCTCTTTTATTTGTCTTGTTATTTTCCACAATCAAAAGGGGACGAAAAAAAAAAATAGTAACATAAAGAAGGATTGATTGATCTTTGTTGCATTTGGATGGTAATATAAAAGGCGTGATATGGAGAGGAGATGTGCTGATCGACGGGGTCTCTGAAACTCTGGATTTTCTCCGCTCCCTGGTAAACTTAATTTACTGTATACTTCTAACATACATTTTTTTTTTTAATTGACAATTTGAGGTAGAGAAGTTTTGTGTAAGTTCTGGATGTGTGATTTCAGTCATGAAAAATTGTTCGTTCAGTGTCTTGCCTCTTAATGTTGATTTCTTTTTCTTTTTTTTTTTTTCCTTTCCAGAAATTAGAGACAGTTATATTAAAAACACAAGCACAAACAATAGACACAAGCACAAGCACAAACAATAGACATTAGGATTTAACCCTCAACCTCGCGGCAGAAGCTGAAGAATCCGCGTGGAGTTTCTTTGCACGAAGCTGTCCTGTTTCATCTTAATAAGATTTTTTTATTCTAATAAGTTAATTACTTTTGGGTTGGTATTTTCTCCCAGATACGATCTGCTAGTTAGTGGGATAGAGGAATAGCTGTTGTTATTGTTGTATACAATCTTTGGCCTCATTTTGTGTAATACTTTGCGTTACTCCTAATGATACGTCTTATTTTGTTTTGCTATTTGACTTGAAAGAATGAAGCTTAATGTTCAACTACTGATTTTGTGGATCTTACAATAGATTGATTACGAGATATCAGAATGTAAAAAATTGTTATATGAACCATTACACAACAAGTGATGCAGAAGATTTCTGTAGTCTACGTCTTAATTGATTTGGCATTGCTAGCTTTTGCCCCTCCATTTACAATTTTTCACCCAGTCCCATTGTGGCATTATTCTGTTGACAAATAAAGTTATAATTTTGAAACAGTTTGAGCATCCTTACATTTTATTTTAATGTACAGCTCCTGGATAAAGGGTTGGTATTATATCTTTTCAGTGGTTGTGTTGAGCTCAATATGGACCAATATGTCCTGTAATTAACAGAACTGTTTGATTTTGTGGTTGCAGGGGAAGAAACTGGTTTTTGTGACTAATAATTCTACGAAATCAAGAAAGCAATATTCTCAGAAGTTCCACTCATTGGGAATAATTGTTAGTGAGGTTTGTACTATTAATCATGTTGTCATGGGGATCTTTGGTACTTTTGTTCATTTCCTTGTGACATTTCCTGCTGTTTACAGGATGAGATATTTTCCTCCTCTTTTGCGGCTGCCATGTACTTGAAAGTTAATAACTTCTCTGAAGAAAAAAAGGTTAGTGCTTCTTGTTACTTGGGGAGTATGGGGGTGTAAGGTCATTCCTGATGGAAATTTGAGGCTTGCTAAAAATGATGACCCTAGTTGAAACAAGCCCCAAAAAAAAAAGGAAAAAAACAAAAAACAAACAAACTGAAGCAAAAAATAAGGTGTATAGGATTTTGCCCTTGACATACATTGCAATGATTGTTTAATACTCGAAGGTGTAAAATAAAGCGGATAACTTTCATCCTGGTAAGCTATAAGTTCAAATATCAGATCGTTGCGGTCCTATGAATTCCATTCAGACTCTCAAACTTTTAGTGGCTGTATAAAAAAATTGCTATATGTGCCTTTTGTTTATTTAAAATCCTTTCTTTATATTGTACTTTTTGGTAATTGTATTAAGCTGCAGGTGTATGTAATTGGGGGTGAAGGCATTTTGGATGAGCTGAAGCTAGCTGGATATACTGGCCTTGGAGGCCCCGTAAGCTTCATTTATATTTTACTTTATATCTTAGATAGCTCTGAGTTTAAATTTTGTGTCTTTTTTTTTTAAGTTTGATTTTCTTAAAAGATCCTGATTTTATGCTGGCAGGACGATGGAAAAAAGACGGTAGAATTGAAGCCAAACTGTCTTTTTGACCATGATAAGAATGTAGGTAATAGTAATATCTTATCCATGTCTATAATGAAACTTTTTGGATAAGCTTCTTATGTATGTATCACAAAAAATGAATGTGAAACCTCAGGTTGGAGCTGTTGTTGTTGGACTGGACCCAAATATAAACTACTATAAACTGCAGTGAGTAAAATCCCTTCTTCTTTTTTTTTCCATCTTCTTTACTTCCCTTTTCTCCCTCATGTTTTAACGCGTAGATACTCCCAAATTGTTGTTCTTATAGCCAGAGTAAATATTGGCTTTGAAGTTTTCTTTGTCCTTTTTGTGGCTTTTTGGATAAAAATTATCCTTAAGAATTATGAGGTAAAGTGATAATGTTTACCCTTAAGAAAAGGTAGGAGTGATAATATTAAGGTACCATTGTTTTTAAGCTAATTTTTGCTTTCACGATAACATTAACCTTCCCTGATTTACGTTTTCTGAGTATTTTAAATGGATGGTTTTGTTGGTAGCCTGAGAATTAATTAATTAAACATTGTAGGTATGGAACACTTTGCATACGTGAAAACCCAGGGTGCCTTTTTATAGCTACCAACCGTGATTCAGTTGGTCATATGACAAATCTGCAAGAATGGCCCGGTACAATTTTATCCCTCTATCTGAACCAAGTGGATAAAATGTTAAATGCTCGGAAATTTGATAAGTTTATCCATTTTTGTTTCTGCCTTTTATTTTCTTCTTTTCTTTTCTTTTTTTTTCACTTCTTTTCCTTTTTTGGGTTGAATTTGTTGGTTTTTTTCATTTGTGGTTTTTTTCACTTGTTTCTGCCTTTTATTTTCTTCTTTTCTTTTCTTTCACTTTTTTCTCTTTTTTGGATTGGATTTGTTAGTTTTTTCACGATCGAGCACTATGGCGACATAAAATCCATATAGGCGACTCCACCTAGTGGGAAAAAGGCTTGTTGTTGTTGTTGTTGTTGAAATTGTTGGTTTTTGGGTTCTCAGGTGCTGGGTGTATGGTTGCTGCAATTTGTGGATCCACTGAAAAAGAACCTATTGTGGTTGGGAAACCATCAACCTTCATGATGAACTTTTTACTACAGAAGTGAGTAGGCGGACACTTTTACCATGTCGTCAACAAGCCTGCATATCATTGTTTATTAGTTCAGACCTGTTTGCAGGTTCAATATCAGTACGTCGAGAATGTGTATGGTAGGTGATAGACTGGACACAGATATCCTGTTCGGGCAGAATGCTGGATGTACAACTCTTCTTGTTCTTTCAGGTAGATTTGAAGAAGTTTGGGTCTAATTTATTTTCCAATTCGTGATTTTACTAGGAAATCCCAGGTATCAGCTTAGTTCTAGTACTTCAAATGGCTAACTAGTTCTGTTGTAAACTTGTAATGTTTTGCTCAGGCGTGACGAATGCATCCGCACTTGAAGATCCCTCGCGTAAGATTCGACCGGATTATTACACCAACAAGGTCTCCGACCTCAAGAGATTATTTCTTAATGACAGTCAACAAGTATGATCCCATGTCCAATAATTTTTTATCCACATCAGTCATGAATGTATTGACTCATTCAACTTCAGGACACCAGCTACGTATTTGTTTAACCATCCTAAATTGTTTGTGCTAGTCCTTTGATGGTTTTGCTGGAACTAGCAGAATTGGTAATTACAACATTGACAAAGGTTTAAGGATGAATGAATCATTGAATAGAGAAGGACATGTGAGTTTAATCAAATGAAATGCACTTTGCATTCCGTTATTTTATCAATCTATCAGTGGCAATTTCGGTCGATTGATTGATTGACTAAGAGTTAAAAGTTTGTCAGAGTCAGTATGATCTGAATATTCACGGTGCAAAACCCCTTCTTCTCCTTCTTCTTGTTCCCAACACTACTCTGTATTGAGAGTTATGGCGGCTCGATCGGTTATGGAGTATTGACTCTGTGCCCTATGGAAAAGATAGCAAGGCCCTAATAAATCCCTTTCAAATTTGTTGGGAGTGATAATCTGGGGTGTTTAAGTTGGGGTCACTCCAGCAGAACCATTCATTGACCTTGATGGTGGTGTGGTACGCCACTGTAGTAAATGGTGCAATCTCAAGGGGGAGCCGTCGTTTATATTGCACTAGTTTGATCTTTGTATCGGTTCCATCGTGATGCTTTTCATTAGTATTACTTGTTTGATATTTTTTTGGGTTTCGAAATAATCCGCAGTGTAAATTAAAAAAACATAGATACTCCCTCCGTCCCATAATTATTGTCCAGTTTTACTAAAATGAAAGATTTTATTTTTGGTCAAACTTAATTATATTTTACCTTAAACAACCGGATATACCCCTACATAAGCAATTGTTTAACTACTAAGATTTTATAGATAATGTTTTTTACTAAGGATAAATGTGTAACTTGATCTATAAAAAGTCAAATTGGACAATAATTTTGGGACAAAATTTTTTAGGCAAAGTGGACAATAATTATGGGACGGAGGGAGTACTATTTTGAGTACAATTTACTATGATTACAAATTAGATTATCTTTAGTCGGAGGACATTGAGCATTAACAATTTCCTAAGTAGCAGCGCCATAAAGGCTCTAATTAGCCAAGCAACTCAACTACAGTTTCCAACTTCAGAAGAATTGAAACAAATGGTGTAGGCTGATTGACTATATGGTTAATGGGGACGCCAGAGCAAGGGCTAACAAGGCCTCCGATCACAATAGCATGAAGTGCCATTTTAGGATTAGATTCTTCTTTGAATGACTTTGCCAAGCCCCATTTCCAAGAGCACTTGCCTTGCCTCTCTTTTCTTTTGAAAAAGCCACTGGCTTCCACCGATGCAAAGGAAAGGAGGAATTGATCGCAATTTCTTGTGGCCTGCTTTGATGCTAAAGTCTTGACCTTTGTTTTGTATCGTCGCCGCCGATAGAGTTTTTTCCCAGTCTGGTGTGGTGTGCAGAAAAAAGATTTGGGGACGGGAGAAAGAGGGCAAGTGCTAATATGTCTGTGTTTGCTCCATCATCAAGAACAGCAATGCCAGTCTTATGATAAATGGGATGTTGTTACTAAATGTAACTCATATACTACTACACAGCTGCAACATTATTCATTCAAAAATTGTTTTGTTCATAAAAATAAATAAATAAATAAATAAAATTAGCATGAAAGTGTTGGTGCTGTGAGATGTTGAGACCTTTAAGAGAAGAAGAAGACGATTGGTCACAATATTTAATATCGTATACAATATAGTATCTCCTCCTCAACACACACAAAAAAATTGGGAGAGATTAATTTTCACTTTCTCCTTATGATTTTGATCCAATAATTTCTTCTTCATTTGTGAAAAAATTTGGAGAGATTGATTTTCACTTTCCGCTTATGATTTTGATCCAATAATTTCTTCTTCGTTTGAATTGTTTTGTTAGGGTATATAGCAGAAGTAAAATGCAATGATGAATATGAAAAGCTTGGAGCGAAGCAGCAAGAAATGGAGGGACAAAAAAAAGGGAAAATGCGGTGAGCGTGGATCGAACACGCGACCTTCAGATCTTCAGTCTGACGCTCTCCCAACTGAGCTATCCCCGCGAGAGATGCCGACTGAGGTTGACGTCACATTTTAAAACTTGAAGCAACCTCCACACTTGAAAGGAGGAGGTTGGGATGAGGAGGGATGTGGGGTGTGGTTGTAAGTCCGGGGTGATGGAGAGTGGGCCAAGGGATCCAAGACATGTTCGCCTTCACATATTATCTTCACCTCACACAACTCTGGGGCATCTCTTAGGATCTGATCAAGTATTGAAGATCCACTGCTTTTCTTGGACCTCATCTTCCTGCGGGGAAAGCCCAATCGTGAGCCCATTTAGTAGATGGAGGAAATGTCAAAACATTCAAGGAGTACTAGTTTGGATTGGATACCTTAGAATAGGTTTGGTGGTGGGCAACAGGAGGAGGGTGATGTTGAGGACCGGAATGAGGTCAAGAATGGCCTGTGCCTCCATATCACTCTCAATTAATATAGTTTCCACCTTCACCTTGGGTGCGGGTGCGGAGCAGGCATTGATGAAGGGGTGAAGGAATTCCCGGCGCTTGTCTCGTTGTTGAGACAGGTACTTGTCCTTTTGCTCCGGATTCACTTGACTTATGGCCATCATTCCTACTGCACTCTCCCCCCGCCGCCATATCATCACAAACACAATGTTACTATTTAAAACATGATCCATTTGAAGTTGTGTCTTGTCCACAAATTGAAAAAAAAAAAAAGATTAGGATGAATAAATCAAAGTGAAATTCTCAATTGATTCCAATTCCATTCCCACGTTAATTGACTGTTGACTTTGGATGCATTACTGTTCAACTTTCTTTCTTTTTTGTGTGTCAATCCACCGACCAATCAAACAATTAACAACTACAGTACTCCTATTAAATTACCGATCAAGAAAAGGTTGAAATGGGGGTGGTTTTGATGATGATGGTAAATTAGTTGGTAATTAACGGTTAAGGAAGAGAAGAGAAAGAGAGAAGCAGGAGGGAGAAAGGAAGACTTACAGGGGGTGGGGATGTGCTTAATTTGGGGAAACACATGAACCAGAAACACAGTTGTGGAGGAGGAGGGATTCTGGAGGAGGGTCCACTCCAATGCACCAATGGTGGCTGCGGCCGGTGTTGTTGATGATACCACCACATACACTGCCTCCTCCTTGTGGTGGTGATGATGATGAAATGATGATGAAAATTGGTGCTGATCCCAGGAAAACAGACTACTATTCCCGCTGATCATCCCACCTCCTCCTTCTTCAATTATCTCATGATTCTCCCCAACTATTTCTGCTCCTCTTGCTGGTGGTGGTGATGAGGACGAGGGTGAGGGTGCTACTACTCTTTTCTTAGCGGCTTGAAGATCATCATCGTCATCATCATTAGTACTACCATGACGTGTACTACTGCTCAGTTGACCACAGTAATAATTACGAGCTGTTCCCACCAGCAACACTCTTGCCTCTTCTTGATGGTCGTCCTCATCATCACCATCTTCTTCTTCTTCTTCTTCAATGATTTTCCGATTAGAAGAACCTGTCTTGATTTTGTTGTTGTTGCTCATCATCGTCACTGATGCAAGCTGATCGTCATCTCCTCCTAATTCCACCATGTAGTAATCATCTTCTTCTCCTTCTCCTCCTTGTTGTTGTTGTTGTTGTTCAAGATGATGATCGGTGGTAGTAGTGCTGGCTGGACTAGGACTCTCATGAGCCTCCTCCTCCTCCTCAGATGTTGTACTAGTAGTAGTACTCTTGGTATTATCATCATCATTATTATTATTATTATTCACAACAGCATCATCATCATCATCTCCTCCGCCTGCAGCCTTGATGTTGATGATGATGGGATTTGGGTCATCTGTGGTGGAGATTTGATCGACCGACCACATTGGATCATTGATGTTATCAATCTCTCTTTATTGTTGTTGTGGATGATTTTTGAGCTTTTGCTAAACTTAACTACGCAATTACAATTACAATCAGCTGTGCTGTGCGGTGCGACACTAACAATTAACTCCCCCTACTAATAATAAATACGTGGTTTGTCATCTACTGTTTCAACCACACCAATAAATAATACTCCTACAGCTTGCTCTTGCTTACCTATATTACATATACAGTATATAGTTTTTTTTGTTTTTTTTTTCTTTTTTAAGAAGAAGAAGAAGGAGGAGGAATACATACTCACAGTTGTTATATACAAACACCCAACCCATCGTACAAAATAAAAATAAAATATATTTTATGCCTACACACAATATAATATTGTTATAAAAAGTTACAAAATCAAACAAATTAATTAAAGACAAAAAAAAAAAAAAAAACTTGAGGGACATGGTAGATTTTCCGCATGGGAAACACAAAGAGGATACTGAATCATCGATGTTTAGGTTCTCTCTACTGATTTCACCAAGAAATTCTTCTTGTTATTGGTTTTTTTTTTTTTTTTGTTTCTTTTTGGCATAATACCAATATTCATATCCCATTAATAAAATTCCTTACTGAATATTTTTAAGCTTCTTTTTAATTTAATCATAAAGAAAAAACCAAACACGTTGCCCTCGTCTTGCATCATCGCCTAGCAAAATATGAGTATCCAAAAGAATATCTCCCTAAGATTCTTCTTACTTTGACTTTTCTTCTCTTAATGTCTCGTTGATTTATCTCTACTGATAGCCACCCTCCCTCTCACGACAGAGACACAGAGACTCCCCTTTTTCTTTTCTTTCCCCTGTATGGGCAAAGTCTTACGAGCTAAAAAATCTAAAAGGGTTATGTTTTATGATTCTTCTACTATTTGTTTACTTTTTACCAAATTTTTTAGTTGGCTACTTTTATTTTATGTGTCCGATCCAGGAATGCACTTTTTTGTTTTGTTTTTACAAAATTATAACAAAACGCAATATTCAAATGAGAAGAATTAAATATTATTTTTTCAATGAAGAGTGACACATACAAAAAAAAAAAAAACAAAACAAACAAATTATCAAGAAAGCTTATTGGAATGATGTGTCAATCTAAACTATTCCCCTAACTGTATAAATCCAAAATCAAAACTAATAAAACATAACTGGATATCATCATTTCTTATCACTTTTCCTTGTAAAATTTTCCTGATATGTATCATTATTTTTTGTTCAATTTTATGTTTCAACAAAGCTGAAGCTGTAATAATAAAAGCACAAATTACTCTTCTTCTTTCTTCTTCTTCTTCTTCTTCTTTTTTTTTTATTTTTTTTTTATAATTAGTCAAGGACTCAAGGTTTTATCGCCTGACATTAAATCTTTCACAAGCCCATCCAAATCCTTCATGAATAGCACCCAGGGGTCAAGGCCTTATTCCTCAAGTATTGGCCCTTTCCTTCTCAGACATCTTCCTTTTATTGCGCAATTTTAAAAGCCGAATTTGGGGCCGCCTACTTTGGGCTAATGATTGGCTGAGATCTAGGCTTCACTAGAATCCAACTTCAACTGGACTGCCTGCAAGCAGTTAACTCCCTAAATGAAAACACACCTACAGCAACTGCCAAGCCCGGTCCAAACATTTTAGGGGCCCTAGTGTAAAAAAATTAAAATGGCCCTAATAGATTAATATAGTCTATTTTTAAATACGGATTTAAAGAATTTAATTAAATTGAGTCTAAAACTTATTAATCACTTAAAACCTACTATATTTTTAATATAAAATAAACTTTTAGTTCATACATTTTGTATTTGGATTAAAATAAAATTTGGGCCCATATATCAAATAACATTAACCTTAAAATTTATGGGCCTTTTTTTCTTGGGGTCCATGATGCAAAGCACTGTTTGCACCCCTCTCTGGGCCAGCCCTGCCAACTGCTATCTCTCAAATCCGCAAGCTTCTACAACGTCCATGGACAGTTGAAATATCCTACATAAAATAGAACGGGAAGAGGCCGACTCTCTAGCCAAATTAGATCTTTCGTCTCCAACGGGTTACGTATTTTGACAACATCCCTGACTAAGACAATATAGAAATTAGAGTTTAGCCTAACTCAACTCTCACCCCTTGAATTATTTTGTAATCTAAACTAAGGCTTCCCCGGTGTATATATACATATATATATATATAGGAAAAGGAAAAAAATAGTGAAAAAAAAGTAGTGAGTGATGTGGAGTATTCTTGACCCCTACTTTTTTGTCACTTTCACATTAAAATTTTATTCTTCCCTAAAAAATTACACTTTTACCTTAATGAATAAGTACACATATTTAGTGAGGATGGTGATTTGTCTTGTCATTAGTCACTACCATATTTCACTATAATTTGTCAATGTCTGTATCATTGCTCATATAAAACATATGAGACTGGTTATGTTAGCATATACAATTAGATCCAGTACTGTATCAAAACCCTAGCACATCCTCGCTATGGAGTTGTGGTGGGGTGGAAAGAACTCCTCCATTCTTAATCATAGGCCGAGGGTTCGAAACTCGTCATGGAGATGGAGCAATCTTAAATCTTTTAGCCAACCCTCTCACTCATCGAGATAGCTACCATGAACGAAGAAATTAGGCACTGTTATTGACAGTGGGCACCCTGCAAAATGAAAAAACAAAAAAAAAAAAAAACCCTGGCAGATCAAGCCATCTGGTCTGATGTAGCCCACCAACAATTTCTCGTCTATGAAACGGGTTTCCAATCTTTCAATTCTTACAAAAATTATTAAGATTTACGTCGCAAAAAATAGAAAAATCATTTTTTATAATTATTAAAAATCTTATCTTCGAAAACTTTTAGCATCGATAAATTTTTCCAGTATTAACCCGATCTTTTGATCATTTCCATAAACACAAACTCTTAATTTCATATTGTATCCAACTTGATAAATGAACTTACATAGTTTTTTTACACAAAGTCTTTTACTTACATAACATGTATAATGTTAAATATATCTCAAATGAATAATATATCCCTAATAATCCAGATTAAAGTATAAAATCATACTAAATAGACTTATGAACGCTTTTTTCGACATCCAATGCATAACAAAGATGTGGCGCGCGTACATCGTTATGTTTAAGCAAAGAAGAAAAAAGGTAGTATTTGCAAATATTGTTTTAAAACTGGTTAAACATACACATTTATTGACCAAGTAATGTGATGTTTTTGTTTAATTTTATCTTTCCAATTCTCTTAATTAAAATCTTTTTTTAAAAATTTAATTTGTATTGGGATTTGAGTTTAAAGTTTTTTTTTTTTTTTTTGAAACGGGAATTTGAGTTGAAGTGAGTTTTCAAATTTTGTATGGATCCAAGATGGTGGCCATAAGGCCCTAATGTTTTTAGTTTGGAAGCAGTGGCGGAGCTAGGGGGGACGGACTACGAAGGGGCGCGGTCGCACCTGCTCAATTTTTTGTACTTAGTAGTGATATCTTAAATTTTCAATAAAAACTATGTGTTATATATAATATTCCGCACCTCCTACATTGATTCCCTAATATTAAGTAGTTTTGTCTAAATTTCGCACCCCCAATATTGATTTTCTGGCTCTGTCAATTGAAAGCTTTTGGTACAATTTAAGCAATTTGTAAATCATGACACCAAAAAATGAATGAACGAAGGCCACATCTTCTAAAAAAAAGTGTTATTGTACAAATCATGTCATTAACAAAGTTCCACTAATATTGGGTTGTTGTACACAAGCCACCAGTTTTGAAGAAGAAACGTCACATGAATGTTTTATAGTACTCCCTTTGTCCTATAATTTTTGTCCAATTTGGCTAAGTTAGAAGATTTTGTGCTTATTTGGACGTCAACTTACATTTTATTTTGCCACTTAAAAGTGGAAAGTGTTTCAAATTGAAAACTAAATGGGAAATAAAAATGTTGTTTGGATGTTGGTTTTGAAAAAAAAAGTATTTTGAACTACATTTTGAAATATCAAATACAAGTCATCACTAAACAATTAAATACTGTCAATTATAGTCACTGGAAAAAAAGAACTTTTCAAAAAACAATCACTCAACAACGGAATCCTGCCAAATTTGTCACTGAACTATTTGTAGTTCTAAAATGGTCATTACACTAACAAAAAGTGTTTCAAGTTGGAATTTAAAATATAAACCGGAAAGTTGTTTGGATGATGTTTTCTTTTCCATTGGGTTTTGTGTTTAAGAGGTAAAATGAGTGAAAATGTAAAATGGAAGGTTGTCCAAATAAGACCTTTATTTTTTAGTCAAATTTAACTATATTTTAACTTAAATTACCGGATATGCCCCCAACCTACTTAATTGTTTAACTAACAAAGAATACTTGAATTATAAAAAAACAGAACTTCCTTTACCAAAAGTCAAAATCAATCCCCATTCAAAAATTCAGTCTTCATATGTTCTTCACGATTGAACCAAAATTTTTAAAATTTCAGATTAATAATTTCGAATCTTCCAACTCTAAGGTTCAGTTTGATGTTTATGAATGCAATTCTTTTCCATCGAAGAATTCGACGCCGTTTCTCCGACGCCGGTATGGTTACTTTAAAATTAAAGTTGCAATAAAATTTGATACGAAGTCATTAAGAATCTAAAATCATTGAAGTGGAAAAAAGAAGAAAACTTGAAGGAGCAGGTAGGGGGACGGAACGGATGGATCTTAGGAAGAGGAGGATGGGTGGTTCTTCGGAAAATTGGGTTGCCACAATTGGGACAAGTAGGAGTGGAGGTGGCGGCCTGAAGAGCGGTGGGATTGAGGGCGGAGAATGATGGAGAAACAGATGAAGAAAATGCCATCTTTTAATTATTATTTTCGAATAAAGACGGCAAAGTGACGAAACTGGGGAAAAGGGATGGTCAGAAAAAGGAAGGACTCAGTTGCGGAGAGAGAGAGAGTTCCATTCTGTAAGTGTGTGTTGATGATGGAAGGATATGTGTGGCGACTGGAAAATGGACTTTTCTCTCAGCATAACCAAAATGGTTTCTAGTAAGTGATTGTTTCTGTGAAGCTCAATTCGTAACTTAATCCATAAAAAGTTAAATTAGATAATAATTTTAGGATAATTTTTTTATAAAATAGACAATAATTATAAGACGGAATGACTACCACTCTACCAGAATAATATACTTATGTCAGCTGTCACAGAAATTAAAATACCGTGTGGGTGCGTGTACTGTAATATAACATTCACGTGAAGTGAAGTGACTCACTCCACAGAATTATTTTAGTAAATAAAATGAATACTGAAATTGAAGAATTATAAAAAAATTACAGCGACGGAAAGCAATGGGCGACCCCACTTCGTCTTCCCCAGTGAGCCAGCCATGAAACAGCCATTACCAATTCGATGTAAAACACTCACACACACACACACTCTGAAATCTAAACCCACGCCACATTTACATGATTATTATTATTATTATTATTATTATTATTATCCCTCCCAACCAAATATTCTCAATTTCACTCTTTGCCTGCCGACACTGTCCTCTTCCTTTCTCTTTCCAACACCCCCCCCCCCCACCCCAATTTTGTTAGGGTTTCCGGATCGGATTTGAAAACCGATTCAGGGTCTCTTCAGTCCGGGAAAGGATGAAGTTGCGGAAGGTAGCGATTGTATTACTGTTTATGACGGTTGTAGCCCCAATTGTACTCTACACTCACACTCTCTCCTCCTATCTTTCCACCTCTGCTTCTTCCTGTAAGCATCTTACCTTATTCTTTCTTTTCCTTCTTCTTTTTTTTTTTTGTGATTTTTCCGACATTTTGCTTCCTACTTGTCTTCAGCTGAAAATGACTTTGTTGCTGAAGAAGCTTCTACTTTTGTAAGTTGATTTTCACCTAGGATTATTTTATCCCTTCTCCACCCCCCCCAACCGCTGAATTGTGATGTCGGTTTTATTTGTGTTGCAGACGTTTGGAGGAGAAATTAGGCCACTAAATCTACTGCCGCAGGTGTGTATTAAATCTTTTACTACGTTCCTTTTTTACTGTTTTAAGTATGCATGTTTTACATTTTTGGATCATTGAATTATAATGCAGGAAGAATCTATTAACGTTGTGAAAGAGCCATCTGGTGTTGTTTATTCCTATAATTCTTCTTCCCAAACTGCTGCTGACAATGCTCGTATAACTAGACAGCTAACTGAAGGTAGCTTTGTTTTTATATCTGTTAAGCAATGTTTTTTGTTGAAAATAAAACTATAATCCGAATTTAATTCATTCTGGGAATTTTATTGATCCAAGGTGTGGATTTTGTTTTGCCAATTATTATCATCATTATTTTAAAAAATTTCAAACTTTTTTAGATTCTTTGGAGCATCAAACCAAGGATTTGTCATCCGCCCATGCTACTGCAGCAGATGAAAATCCCATCAAGCAGGTGGTTGACTATGAGCTCCCAGCGAACCAGAGCGGACAAGACTTTAAGAAACCTGACCTCAGTGGGGATGCACTAGCTGTTGATGCGAAGGAAGTAAGTTGTGCTGTCACTGTCGAGAAACCAGACAGTGGCTCTGCTAATGTTTAATTTTATCGGTTGCAGTGTTATATAGTTTACGAGATGTATCATCAGTAATTCATTTAACCTAAGGTTTGTTACTTTTTGTGCATTTTTGAAATTGGGTTAAATTCCTTGGTTGTCGTTTGTTTCGTTTATGCTGTGCCATTTTTAGTTAGATGATTTGAACTGTGGTTCATAAGTTTAATGGCAATGAATTTGGTTAATTGTTTGGTTTTGATGGTTAATTGTTACATATGGTGTTTGTTTCTTTATGCTGTGCCATTGTTGTTAGATGATTTGAACTGTGGTTCATTAGTTTCAAGACAATGAAATTGGTTAACTGATTGGTTGTGATGATTAATTGTTACATATGCTGTTTGGATTAATTCTATCGCTTGTAAATAAAATTCCATGACGCAAGCTATCTATGTTTGTTTTCCTGAGCATTTTTCCTCTTGTTGCTTCTTGTGGTTGTTGATTTTTTTTCCTGATTATTTGAAGTTAGTTTGCTGATGAACTTCATGCTATTTTCCTTCTAATAGGCTAGTGTTGTGTGTTTTTAACTTCACCTCTTAATAAATGGAACTCACATGATTAAGCAATGTTGCCATTCTTAAGCTGTTTATATTGGTTAGCTAGCAAAGACATTATCGTGGCTTGCACAGGCCCTTAACTTTTGGACCACTCTTTTTGTATAGGAAATTACTGCCAAACAGCACTCTTTGAGAAACTCTGGGAGGACTATTAGAAGAGAACAGCAGCTGGTGGTTCAAACTGAGAGTCAAAAGGAACCGGCTCTGCCTGATGCTCGCGTTCGTCAGCTCAAGGATCAGCTCATTCGGGGAAAAGTATACCTCTCCCTTTCTGCAACAAGAAATAATGCCCATTTTGTTAGGGAGCTGAGGCTGCGAATGAAGGAAGTTCAACGAGCATTAGGCGAAGCCTCCAAGGATTCTGAGCTACCCAGGAAGTTAGTATTCTATTTGAGTATATCCTTTCTCACTGTTTTTGAATGATTTTCCCATTTATATTTGGAAATAAATGATTATGATGTGAATGTTTGGAAGGTTTTACCATGATTCTTTGTTGGTTTTTTCAGCTTGTCTCTCTGAACATCAGTTTCGCTATTATATTGCAGTGCTTTCGATAAGCTTAAAGCAATGGAGCTAACCCTGACCAAGGGCAAGCAGATTCAAGATGATTGTGCGGCTGTGATTAAGAAGTTAAGGGCCATGCTTCATTCTACAGAAGAGCAGCTCCGTGTCCACAAGAAGCAGACCTTATTTTTGACACATTTAACAGCCAAAACGCTTCCGAAAGGACTCCATTGTCTTCCTCTGCGACTGTCAACTGAGTACTTCATGCTAAATGCTTCTCAACAGCAATTTCCGAATCAAGATAAGGTGGAAGATTCCAGCCTATACCACTATGCGCTTTTCTCAGATAATGTTTTGGCAGCTGCAGTTGTTGTAAACTCTACTATATCTCATGCAAAGGTATTATAATCTTCATTCATGTACCCTTTTTGTAGGAAACACTTGACAAATAGTGCAGATTATCCCTTCTGTTGGCTGGGATGATGTTGTTACGGTATTATTAAATTGCTTACATACATAAGTAATATGAGCTTTGGAGTCAATGTCTACAGGAAACATCAAAGCACGTGTTCCACATTGTCACTGACAGGCTTAACTATGCTGCCATGAGGATGTGGTTCTTGGAAAATCCACCTCTGAATGCTGCTATAGAGGTTAAGAATGTTGAGGAGTTTACATGGTTGAATTCAAGTTACAGCCCAGTCCTGAAGCAGTTGGGGTCTCCTTCTATGATTGACTATTACTTCAAGACACGTCGTGGTGCTGAATCCGATTCCAATTTGAAGTTCAGGAATCCTAAGTACTTATCGATTATGAATCATCTTCGGTTTTACCTGCCACAGATTTTCCCTAAGCTGGATAAAGTTCTATTCTTAGATGACGACATAGTTGTGCAGAAGGATTTGAGTGGCTTATGGTCTCTTAATCTAAAAGGAAAAGTGATCGGTGTGGTTGAGACTTGTGGAGAAAGCTTCCATCGGTTTGACCGTTATTTGAACTTTTCAAATCCTTTGATTTCAAAGAAATTTGATCCTCGTGCTTGTGGATGGGCATTTGGAATGAATATTGTGGACCTTGCTCAATGGAGAAGACAAAACATAACTGATGTTTATCATTCGTGGCAAAATCTGGTAAGAGACCTCGTTCTTTTCGGTTCATCTTTTAGCAAAAGTTAGTTACATTTTGTATTCACAAGACAAGTTTTTACTTTACCAATCCAAATTATATTGTTTCTAAAAGCATGAACATTCATTCGCACCCTAAAACGGTTTCTTTTTGTGGAATTTGTTCTTATCTGAAAATAAACGTCTTTCCTAATTATTGTGCTCCTATTTAACATTTGTTGGAATCATAAATTGTCCTTGTCAGTTCACAGGAATGTGCTCTATATGCCCTCACTGCTTTCCAATTTTGTATCCTATTCTAGCACTCGCTCCGCCCCGAAATGATTGTCCAGTTTGGTTTTTCACTTTTAATGCGAATTGTTCTAAAAGTGAAAAACCAAACTGGACAATCATTTTGGACCGGAGGGGGTATAATTTGTTACATCCAAATACCAATTTTGACACATACATGTTGTACTTGTGTTTTACCATTGCAGAACCATGATAGGCAGTTGTGGAAGTTGGGGACACTTCCCCCGGGGTTAATAACATTTTGGAACCACACATATGCCCTTGATCGGTTCTGGCATGTCCTTGGCCTTGGTTACAATCCTAATGTGAACCAGAAGGACATTGACCGAGCAGCTGTTATACACTATAACGGGAACTTGAAACCTTGGCTTGAGATTGGAATACCTAAATACAGAAATTACTGGGCCAAATTCGTGGATTATGATCAGAAATACTTGCGTGAATGCAACATCAACCCGTAAAATTGTTCGCCGACCTTGACAGTAATCTATTGCCTTCATTGATGTTAAGAATGAGTGCCATTCAGGTATATATATAAAAAAGTGGTTTTTGGCTGAAGCACGTGATATTTGATTTGTTCACGGTTGTTGCTGTTGGAGCTAGTGCCGATGCCTTTGTATATGGTTCCAAATATATCTTCCCACCGATTCATTTGTGGTTTTTGTTGATTTTTTTTTTTTTTTTGTATATTGTTACCTCGAGATGAGTGTATATTTTTGCTCTTCGCATAGCGTATTTTACTAGTTAGTAGTTTTGCTAGTTATTGTATACTTCACCATGTGATATGAAGTTCGCACTATTGTTTTTAGGATTTCTTGAGCAACGAAATTGGAATTTTTGTCAAGTTGTGATTGATATTGAGAACAACTTTTCAGATTCTAGTTACCCGGAAACATTTGAAGTTAGCCATGATATTGCGTTTTCTTGCTGTAGAGATAATATTCTTTATTAAGGTTTTGAAGGTATTCGTAAATCGTAACACTCCTTTTGTATTTGAGATGTTTGTGTGACTATTATGAACTCAAAATGGGTTATGCATCCTAAAATTTAAAACAACATGATTTTGCTGAGATGAAGATGTGTAGTAGCATAAGCATTCTTAAACGTTAATCAAGGAAAACCACCAGCCAGTAACATGATTAGTAGGATCATGATGATATTTTGGGTCAATGATTTGAGGCCAAACCGAAGGAAAGTCATACAACCCAATGACAATGAGCATGGAATCAATGAAAGCTATTGAAAAATCAGACAAAAAAGAGACAAGGAAATTCTTTTTTTGAAGATAAGAGACAAGGAAATCTGGGTAATAAAAACTTCCTATCCAATACGTAATATATCAGTGTCTAACAATAATCCAGTACTCTCCGGGGAGGATCGAGGCAAACAGCTAAGCTGAGTAGTTGCAAGCAAGGTTCCTACAGTGCTAACATCGAACCTAAACTACTAGTACTATTACATGTTTAATCTGGTGAAATATTTTCAGGACAGAAATTCAACTTCAAAAATCTCTTAAAAACTTCACACGACAAATATCAATATCAGCAATGGCATCATCATTTCCATAATACCGCCAGAATTTTGCAGACTAAATCCTGATGAAGAAGAAGAAAAAGAAGAGTACTTCTTGCTGTAATCAGCGATCCCCACCAGAAACTTGCAGTCACCGACAGAAGGATCCAAGAATGTGACCATCCCTAGTCCATCAAAATCACAACTTTTTATATTCTGTCGGTTAACCTGGTAGTAACTGTTGAATGCATAAGATATGTTGCCTTTCATCCCAATCCCGTAGCATGATCCCCCATAATTTAGAGTCGTGCAATCAGCATAGTTGCAAGCGAGCTTGTAATGATTATCTACATCCACAGTTGCAGAAGAAAGATCCTTGGAGGGGTCCACCACGCACCATCTGAAGGGTAAGTAGTCCACGTCCTTGGCATTCTTTAAATGCCCGTTGCCTAGGTTTAGCGAGTACTTCGCCTGGCCGTCAAATGAGAAGATTCCCCAATGGCGTTCAAAGTTTCCCGGGAGAGTGCTCTTTGCACCTTCATCGAGAAGGCTGAAAAGATAAACATCCAAAGGCGGCACGCCTGGCCTCAATGGAGTTCCTTTGTTGCTTAAGACATGGTATATGAGGCCTTGATTGAAAGCTTTGGCAGCTGAAAGATTGGCACTGATAGCTCCATCTGTTGGCCAGCCCACCTCGCCTATGACAATCGGCATTTGTCCATAGCCAATTTTGGTTAGGGCTGCGACTAACGTGTCGAAATTCCCATCAAAAGCATTTGTATAAACATTTGGCCCGTCAGTTACAGAATGTGTTGTCCCGTCAAAGAATGCGTAGTCTTGAGGGAAGTCTGAGCTTGAATAAAGGCTGAGGAAAGGGTAGATGTTCACGACAAAAGGTGAACCATTCGAGTTGAGAAACGAGACAAGGTCGGTCATTATTTGGGTGAGTTCGGGCCGGAAAGTTCCTTGTGAAGGAAGGGAAGACTCGTACGCATCAGCATTGCAAGGCACGACCAGCTTGATGGTGCCAGCGAGGTTTGCTTTGGCTAAGGATTGCTGTAAGTTCATCAAAGCAGGGACAACATATGACTGAAATTGACCGGAATAACTCGTCAGAAAGGGCTCATTTCCAACTGCAACGTATCTGAGCCAAAAAAATCAAATGTCAGTTACTCTTTACTATCCTGCAAAGCACAACAGTAAGTCTTGGTGTCCTATGTTTTATTCCACTTTTACTGGTAGTTCACCACGGCTTGCTAGAAGCAAAGCTTATTCTCTTATTTCATGGTAAGAAACACAAGTTGAAGCTCCATCGGCAAAAAAAAAAAAAAAAAAATTACTACTATCCTATCATTCAAGAAAAATGAGAGGAGATGAAAAACTGTAAGAAGCTAAGCTCGTGTAGTTTATAGATTGGACGGCTAACCTATCATTTAGGAATTATCCTCCACCTATTTCACTAAACTAAATCTGAACCAAAAAGTTTCAGAACAAGTAGTAGCAAAATTTGAAGTCAATATCAGTAAGTAGGAAAAGTTGATCCCAGTTCATTTCCTATCTCCCCTGCTTGTGCCCAAATAATATCAAAACAAAAATCACTTAGGAGAAAAGGCAAATTTTGAAATGTTAAGCTGAAGACATCAATCTCATCATCTAGGGTTGTTCCACAAATCAATCTGCGGTTCGGAGTGAATTTTTCAACTTCTAGGAGGAATGTCAGTAGTATCTCTTCGCATAACCTCAAACGTAACAAAAAGTAAAAAGAAGAAAAAGCAACACTTCCTATCTTGGCATATCTTAATCCGGTAGAAAAAGACTTCATAGATGTTTGTGAATCACGCTCAATGGAATCCTAAAAAGTTGAAAGAAAAATGATTTACTTTTCTTACTCGGCACCCAGCCGCTTCCATTAGAGAGGTGATGGGGGAAGGAACACAAAATTACAATGAAAAGTTTCACACATAAAAGCGAAGCGAATGCGATAATCATCGAAAATCAAACACACTAAAGAGGAAAAAAAAAAAAGAAGAAGAAAACAAAACTCTGTATAATAATGAAATTACTTACACAATCAATCTTCTATCTAAAAGACTAAAACAGAGAAGAAATTAATAAGAGATGAGGACATACTTGATGTTAGCACCGGCTTTACCCAGGTATCTAGACACATTCTGGGCGACCCAAGCATCCGAAACCGAACCCGAAGAGGCAAGACCCGACAACAATTCATTAGGGATACCAACCATGACTTCAATCCCAGAACCCATGAGTGCCCTCAAGGAATCTGGGTCAGCATCGAACAGCTTCACTTTCCCAATCTTGTTGTCTTTTAACAGATTCACCACGGTGTTTGGGGAGAGCTTGTGTACAGATACGGAGCCCCAGTTCATTCCTATCCCTGACTCCACCATTTTCACAACAGATAACAACAAAATCATCACCCCCAGCATTTTTAAAGGTTGCAGCAACTTTTGGTGGCATTGCAAATCAAAAGCAAATCGATATGGGCTGTTACTGTTCAGCTCAAAATCCCAGCTCATTGAGTTGAGTTCAGTTTGGAAGAGTGTGTTTGCATTACTAGAATTCAAGAAGCTGGGGAAATCAGCTAAAGCCAAAAATACAGAAATGAGCAGAGAAAATAGTTTCAAGGAAGTTTGCCAATTAGTACTAGTACTAGTATTTAATACTCTTTCGGTCCAAACAAGTAATAGGCATCGATGCTATGTTTGAATCGTTTTTTTTGTGTGTGTTTATTTTAATTGAGAATGTAAAAAGTATATTGGGATGTGACAGTTATTAATATTTAATTCTGAAAAAATTTAAAAAAAAAAACAAACCAAATTATCTATTAATATTATCTCGATTTCAAATTATTGTCCAATTTGAGTTTTCAATTCTAAAACAATTTGAACTAAAAATAAAAACCTAAATTGGACAATCATTCCAATTTTTTTTAATATAAATATCAAATATTTACTTCTTTTCTTTTAGGTCGCATAGAATAGTATTTTCCAAATAATTGACATACTCTTTCATACAAGAGATTTTAGAAATTTTATCAAAATAGAGAAAATATTAAATACAGTACTTAAAAATATAAAATTATCTCTATTCATCATCTACAGAACTCATTATTATACCAAAAATGTTAAAATTTAACGTAAGTATTATCTCCAAAGCAAAGATAATGTTGAAAAAATAATAAATAAAAGATATGAAATGTATTTTGGAAAATTGTACGTTAACTTAATAATCTGATAAATATTTCAAAATCAGGAAAATGAAAATTATTTTGGGATGACAAAGGTGCTACTTAAAATTTTTTTTTAAACCACAATTGTGGGGTTGGGAATGGAGCCCCGCTTTTGTAGTTGTCCTTTTTTGCGTATCCACCGACTTTGTTACACACATACACATGCCGACGTGCGCATGTTTACGTTGCCGTTTACAAACTTGTGTCCGCAAAATCTAAAAAGAAGGGTATTTTACACCTTGGAAAAGGAGGAGATATCTCATTAATTGATGAAATCATACCACTTTTTAAACGAGGCGGTATTCAGTGTACCTGAATGTACCGTATACCCCTCACCAAATACACGTGCACCACGCGCTCAACTGTTTTTACCTTTACATTAAATGCATACAGAAAATTGTTTTCATCCATTTCATTCTCACGCATAAACACACACAAACACACAGTCGACGGAAACTCTCCATTTTAGGGCAAATACAAAATTGACCACCACCACAAAATTACACAAAATCGATGGAAAACCTATGTTGGAAGACGATTTTGATAACTTCATCTTCTCCTGCGTTTTTTCCTTTTGTCAGTTTGTTCTTTCACAAACCCCCCCCACACACACACAGACGACGGCGAGAAACCCTACGTCCGGCCATCTCAAGCTCTCCTTCATCTATACATGCTTCACTGGTAAGTATATTACTCCGGGATCCTATTTTTTTGATTATCCAGCAATATCTTGTGTGTATCCACTAGATCTGAACTATTTATCCATGGTTTCCTGCGTATGCTATGTGATCGTTGTCCATGTCATAATCTCTGGTTATCCATCTATATCATATTGACATTTGTTATCTACCTATTTCATTCTGGTTATCCACAAGTTGTAAAGTAGTTATCAAGAAGTTGTAAAGTAGTTATCCACAAGTTGTAAACTGGTTATCCAGACTTTTTTTACATTTTATTCTATGTGACATGGACAAACTGAACTGGTTATCCATGTTTTTGTGTTTTTTTTGTTACTGGTTTAGGGTTTAGGGTTTAGGGGCGCTTGTCCAAACTTTGTTTTTGGTTATCTATCCATTAAATACTTGTTATCCGCATGGTGTAAACTGGTTATCTATTGTTTTTTTTAGATGTGCTTTTATGTGGCTACGTCCATACATTATTTGCTGGTTATCCACCCATTTCATACTGGTTATCCACAAGTGGTAAACTGGTTATCCACAAGTTGTAAACTGGTTATCCATGCTTTTTTTACATTTGATTCTATGTGGCATGGACAAACTGAACTGGTTATCCACTATATATCTGAAATGGTTATCCAAGTTTTCCTGCGTGTGTGCTATGGGGTGCTTGTCCAAACTTTGTTTCTGGTTATCCATCCATTTTAACTTGGTTATCCGCAGTGAGTAAACTGGTTATCCATTATTTTTTTTAGATGTGCTTTTATCTGGCTACATGTCCATACATTATTTGCTGGTTATCCACCCATTTCATACTGGTTACTCTTTTTTTGATTACTACTCCTTTTCATATCCTGCTGTTTTGTCCACTGACTTCTTACTGATTGTGCAATGCCAACAGTGTCCTAAAGGAGGCTAGAACAAAATATAGGCACGAGTGGATCAGCGCAAGCACGACCTCAACTGCAACCCAGACAGATCACCGGATCTTGAACCAGAGAAAATAATGGAGCTCCCTGAAGGAACACTGACATATATAAAAAACAAAAATCAACCCAAGAAAAACAGTCTCCTGTACAAACTCCAAGGCCCCACAACTTGTGGAGAAAACCAAAGAGGAAGAAGAGCACACCGACAGGAAATCCAAAGTAACTTGTGGTTACTGATGACAACGATGATAAAAAGCCCAAAAAGAAAAGAACAAAACCTGAGAACAACAAACTGATGATTGGTCAAGATCCACAGCCAATCAGTTCTGAAGATTCTGTCAAGAAATTTGAGACAAGGATGACACAGAACCATTTCTTCCAACTCATCTCTGAAATTAATAAACCAACAGATCTTAAGGAGGAGCCAGATGTGGTAGATTATCGCCAACTACAAAGGCAGGCTATCAGAGATATGGGATTTGGCACCTTGCTGGATCTCAAAATTAAAAATATTCCAACAGCCTTATGTAATTTTCTGGCAAACAATTTCCAGACCGGTGCAAGACAAGTCCCATTGAATGGGAACAATGTACTGGATATTAAACAAGAAGATGTTGTTGCTGTACTTGATCTTCCTCATGGACCCAAACCAGTGGAAGAATTCAAACAGAATGATCCCGCTATAACGGACCACGCTGAGATGGTGGATGCATTCAAGAAAAGAATGGGATACAGTAATAAATTCCTGTCAACGAGATCCACCGCGGCACAATTAATTGCTGGTCGAAAAGATTTTGGTGATGACTTCAAACGAGATTTCCTTGTCTTCGTTGTGAGCACATTCCTACATGGAAACACCACTTCCAGGATCACAATGAACATCTTGAAGTCCCTCGTGAACATCAATGAAGTGACGCAATACAATTGGTGTCAATATGTGATTGATGCACTGGTGAAAGGATGCAAAAGTCACCACGATGGAAAACCATTCACCGGACCAATCACTTTTTTCCTGGTACTTACCATATCCGTACAAATTTTACTAGTTATCCATATTGCTTGCAATGTTTATCCAATTTGCTGTATTTGTCTGATGTGATTATACTTGTCATCCAACTAATTTGTACTACTTATCCAACCCCTTTTTTCCCTTTAAATGATTATCCATTGTGTTCCTGTCGATTATCCAGCCTATTTGAACTCATTATCCACTTTATTTGAACTAGTTATCCAATCTGTCTAATTTGTACTGCTTGTACTGATATCATTAACACTAACTTTTTTTTTTGGTTAGTTGTGCTACCTTGACAGGTGTGAGTATGAGAGAGCACATCTGAGGTCATTCCCTGTGATCAAATCTTGGGATCAAAAGATGCTGGACGACAGAATAAGACTTCAGGGAAGCAATTTCATAGATGTCCAGACACTTGAACGTCTTAAGAAACCGTCCTCAGCAGCATCCCGAGATGAACAACCAGAGGCTGAATCACAGGAGGATACATAGGGAAACCCCAACACACAGCAAGTCTATGTACTGTTCTACCATTTTTTTTTCAGATCAAACGTACGTATCTGACCTAGCATCTCCACATTCCACTAACTACATTCACTTTTGTAGGACCTTGCTGCTCTTTATGAAAAATTCTACCTATTGATTATCACGATGAGCAAAACTGTTTTAGACATTCGTGAGAAGAAAATAGAGTTAAAAATCGAACCAGATGAACAAGCAAAGTAAACAATCAAGATCCTAATAGATGCAATGGTGTCGATGAGTAGAAAGATGCCTCCGCCTTCAGGTACAACGCAACAGGAACAAGAGCAGTAGCAAGACCAGCAAGACCTCCAGGATGCACAGATTTGTGAATTATGCGAGATGGCATGGAAGTCCGCTGAAAGCAGATTTGCAACAATCATTGAACAGCTGCAACGACAAGTAGCTGACCAACAACAACAACAACAACACCAAAAAACTAATGACAATACTGTACAAGCTCCAATTAATCTCACAAATTTTCAAGACATTGAAATTGACAAAGCACAGGGACTGGAGCAATTGAGCCAGACAAATGATGAGGCTTCTCTTGTAGTGGGGAAATCTGTGCCTACTTCAAAAGAAGTGGTGGTTGATGAACAACAAACTCAACCACAAGGGGCACAGGGACTGGATCAATTGAGCTAGACAAATGATGAGAATTCTCTTCCAGTGGGGAAATCCGTGCCTACTTCAAAAGAAGTGCTGGTTGATGAACAACAAACTCAACCACAAGGTAATGAATATTTTTTTAATGAAACAAATACTTGTCTGATGTGATTGTACTTATCATCCAACTAATTTGTACTGCTTATCCAACCCCTTTTTTCCCTTTAAATGGTTATCCATTATGTTCCTGCCGATTATCCATCCTATTTGAACTGATTATCCACTTCATTTGAACTGGTTATCCAATCTGTCTAATTTGTACTGCTTATCCAACCCCTTTTTTCCCTTTAAATGGTTATCCATTGTGTTCCTGCCGATTATCCAGCCTATTTGAACTGATTATCCACTTCATTTAAACTGGTTATCCAATCTGTCTAATTTGTACTCCTTATCCAACCCCTTTTTTCCTTTAAATGGTTATCCATTGTGTTCCTGCCGATTATCCAGCCTATTTGAACTGATTATCCACTTCATTTGAACTGGTTATCCAATGTGTCTAATATACATGTATGTTCGTACTGATTATCCAACATTCCAACTTTGTACCGCAGAACATGCAACGAATATCTCCACAACAGAAAAGAAGAGATCCCATCAAGATTCCACCGGCCGGGATTCAGGTGTGACATACACCTATACCAAAAGGTCGAGAAGCACTGGTACCAAGAAAAGGAAAGCATTCAAAGACCCAACTATCCCACACTTTAACCTGGGTATCTTCTCCAGTCAGGAAGACAGTTACGAGACAACCCTGGAGAAGAACACTCAGGAAGATGTCACAGGAAGTGTTGATTTGGATAAAGATGTGAATAAGACTATAGAAGTAGAAGAATATCCAGTACCATCTGCACTCGACGAAACAAAGAATCCCAGTCCTTCCATCGATGAAATCATAAGAAGGGCCAGTGCACCAGCTTCAGAATCATTAAGTGATACCAAAAAACTAGAGATTATTGCGGCTGTTGCAGAACAAGTTGAGAAAAACCCAAAGGTGGTTGAAGCAGTCTCTTTAAGCATAATTCCACCCGATTGGAATATTGCTTCTACCACGGGTGGTCTACTCATGCTGGACAAAAATGAGTGTACCACGCCACTGCCTGCAATCTCAAAGAAAGCTGAAGTACTTGATAAAGGGTTAACAAAGACAGTGGAAAAGTAAGTTTGATCCACTGTGACTCCTCACTACAAAATAAAAGGATGAATTTACATACTAACTCTCTTTTGTTATGTCCTAGGATCCTCAATGAAAAACCTAAGAGGAGAAATCCACCAAGAGTCCACCGGTTGCCCAAACGGTTCAGGTCGTCATTCATGCTGCAGAAGAAAAACAAGAAAAAATTCATACAGTTGATAGAGGAGAAGAAGAAAATGACCCAAGAAGAAGCCCTGTTGATAGACTTCGCTCTCTTGCAGAGACAAGAAGAAATAGTTAAATCAGGGTAAAAGTCACCATCCTTACTCGTGGGATAAAAAACTTATCAATTTTCCAACTATTTGTCTATTTGACTACTTTTTTCTATGCAGGAATTTCTTCTTTGAATTTGGAAAAATCGTTTGGGCAGACAGGACAACATTCTATTCCATGAGGGAACATGGATAGAAAACAGCATCATAGATGCTTGGGCTGTCATCCTAAACAAAGAAGAAGCTAAGAGTGACTCCCCAAGATGGATATTCTTTGGTGTTTCCTCATTTGTAAGTCAACTAGACCCTTATTGTTTATGCCGCCTTGGTAAAATACTTGTCATATGTCTGCAAGTTGTTTATCCAAAGACTTTCTACTAGTTATCCAGCCATAACGGGTGGTTATCCAGAATGTGTAAACTAGTTATCCAGCCATAATGGGTGGTTATCCACAATCTGTAAACTAGTTATCCGGCCATAATTGCTAGCTATCCACAATGTGTAAACTAGTTATCCATGCCTTTTTTTAGTTGTGCTTCTATGCGGCTGCTTGTCCATACATTATTTGCTGGTTATCCATCATTGTTGTATAACTTACCTACCTATAAGTAATCATCAGGAAGATCACGCATGACCACTAACACTTATTATCTAATTTGTTACTAATGCTTGTCCACCAGAGTTGAAATGGTTATCCAAGCCTTCTATGTGGTGGCTTGTCCATGATTCATTTGTTGGTTATCCATCTGTTCTGTACTACTTATTCACAAGATCTGAACTGGTTATCCATTCATTCTTGTTTGTCATCAAGGGTACTTTTGGTTGACCTTGTATGTGCTTGATTCCGATCATTGTTTTCTACTGTATTTTCCAACCATTGTACTGATCATTGTATCATTTTCCAACCACCTCAAACAATAACACAGGATACATTCAGTCAATACAACCAACCGGGCAGTAACAAAGAAGAATTAGAGTTTACATTCTATGAGAGGTTGGCTCTTGAACTAGAAGAACAAGGCCTCAGTGTAGCATCCCTGATAGCGGCAAAAGCTGTAAGCAACATCTTTCACCTCCTTCACTCTTTCTATAACTAGCTGTTAAAAAATTTTCATATGATTTCCCCCTTCAATGTGAAAAATCATATCTACTTCCCAGTATACTACCGAGACCATTACTTCTTGTATGTGTTGCTGGTTGAAGAAAAGAAAGTGCTTGCATTCAATAATCTTCATGCAAAAGATCTAGACTACTACAAGCCAACAAAAGATCTACTTGTGAGTGAAAAAAAGATACATAATGATTGTCATACTTTAAGAATTATCCATTGCATTTTGCTGATTCTTAGATTTTATGGCATCACAGTTTCAGTTCTTCCAAATGTACCTTCAATGCGTGTTTCCACACATAGAACTGGTCACTGCTCAGTACACCTTGACAGAGGTTACGCTACCATCACACAAGGACAAAATACCGAATGCGGAAGATTGTGGAATATTCACAATGCACCACATGGAGCGGTATGATGGTGGTGACTACGAGGATGGTACTACTTTGGATTTCCACACAGGAAATATCAAAGAGTACCGGTGGAAATACATGTTAAAAATCCTTATGCACCCATCCAACAAAAATAAGGACAAAATCCTCAAAGCAATGTACTAGTTCTATACAAATACTGCTGAAGAAGAACCAAAAGAAATTCCAGATCATGTTGATTTGAGCAGCAAATCTTACTACAATGACAGAAAAATTCAGGGATGGGTTAAATAAACTGTCATTATGTTGTCTTGTATAATTGATTGACTGTTGATCCTAAAGTGTTTGATATCCAACAGCTGTTTAATGGCCATCCTAGTATATTACCCAACCGTTTGTAATGGTTATCCAGGATCTTTCTACTAGTTATCTAGCTTCTTACACCTGATTATCCAAATGTTTTATAGTGATTATCCAGTCAAAAAAAAATGCAAGTACATTCTTTAACCTGATTATCTAAAAAGACATAACAGAATAAAATATCCATAAGAAAATAACAAGACAATGTATTTTGGTTGTCCAAATATTTCTGTAAATTGCCAAACAACAAAAACTGAGTGTCCCAATTTCTTGGTCTTTCTACTTCTTTATTAAACTGCTTATCCTATGATATTATCCTGCTTATCCAGGACTTTTGTACTGGTTATCCAGCCAATGTGCAGCAATATCCAGCCGTTTGTAATGGTTATCCATGATCATTATACCAGTTATCCATCTTGTTACACCTGATTATCCGAATGTTTTATAGCGATTATCCAGTAAAAAAAATACAAGTACAGTCTTTAACCTGATTATCCATGAGATTATACTTGTTATCCAAAACCTCAATACTACTTATCCATATGTAACGAATGTTTTATAGTGATTATCCAGTAAAAAAAAAATGCAAGTACATTCTTTAACCTAATTATCCAAAAAGACATAACAGAAGAAAATATCCATAAGAAAATAACAAGACAATGTATTTTGGTTGTCCAAATATTTCTGTAAATTCCCAGGTAACAAAAACTGAGTGTTCCAATTTCTTGGTCTTTCTACTTCTTTATTAAACTGCTTATCCTATGATGTTATCCTGCTTATCCAGGATTTTTGTACTGGTTATCCAGCCAATGTGCAGCAATATCCAACCGTTTGTAATGATTATCCATGTTCATTGTACCAGTTATCCATCTTGTTACACCTGATTATCTGAATATTTTATAGTGATTATCCAGTAAAAAAAAAATGCAAGTACAGTCTTTAACCTGATTATCCATGAGATTATACTTGTTATCCAAAACCTCAATACTGCAATCCAAACGGCATACTCATTGGGGGCCTTTGCCCCCCATGATAAACTAAACGACTCCTGCGGCTACCGGAATCGCAGGTCACCAACCTGCCACGGCTGCGCCGCCCCGCCAAACACGCCAATGTAGCTAAAGTAATCCTTTTTTCGTGTATGAGTAAGGAGAGTGTGTGTGTAAGGAGAGTGTATTATTGCGTTAAGAGGAGACACAAATTAATTGTATAAATCCCCCCGTGATAATAAACTAAACGACTCGGCGGTGCCGTGTGCCCGCAGGCTGCGCCTTTCGCGCTGTGCGCCCCATGCCGAACAAGGCAAATTTCATAAACAGTATTTAAAAATGAATGAGGGGAAGTTTGCCAAATGATGGAGAACAAAAACTGAATGAGGGGCAGGCCGTCTGACTTAACTCGCGGGCCAAACCCGACCCGGTAACGCGACCCGCTTCAAAATCCCGTCCAAATTCTGGAAAACCTGCCCCATTAGTGCGCACGTTTTCCAAATGGCGGCCGGGCAATCATAATAATTATCCCTTACTCCTTAGAATCTTCCGCCCGAAAACGTCATTCAATCATAATTGAATGTGTGGGATAATGTACCATTCCTTCAACCACTCAACTGCTCTCTCCCTTTTTATGGGTATAAAATTCACTTTGTTTTTATTCTTTATGAACAATGCTGGTCCATAGTGTTCAACACTGGTTATCCAGCTGTTTTAAACTGGTTATCCATAATGGGAACACTGGTTATCCACTATGTCCATACTGATTATCTACAGTGTGGAGTATGTTACTGTGTATAACTGAAAAGCCACACGTTTTGTAATTAAATAGAATTTAAAAGATTGAGGGAGTAAAAATAAAAAAATAAAACTGAAAATGCTCATGTTTGTGTAGAGTACATCCACCATGATCTAATGGGTAGTTACAGAGCCACACGTTTTTACATGCAATGGATTGAATAAGGAGGATCAGTTACATAAATGTCATTAAATGAATTTCTTGATTATAACAATGACGGTTAATGAATAGAGAGTGAGAAGACACTGATTTGTGAAAAAAGATAGGACTGCATGGGCAGTTAATCCGTCAAACTACCTCTCTATAAACTACCTCATCTTCACATACAACATTTCTATACAACTCCCTGACATCTCCACATAGAGCATTTTTATAAAACTCCCTCATCTGCACATACACCAGAACGCCTGATTTGAGCATCCAAAACATCCAACAGCCAGAAAAAAAAATGAAAAACGTAAAAATTTCCTCAAATTCCACAACCAAACAAATGTCCCCCGACTACCATGAATATATCCATCACGATATGCTTGATAATATGTTCATTAATCTATCATTGGAAAAGATTAGGGAGTTCTGTCGTGTCAGCAAAGCTTGGGAGGAAGTGACGAAAAGACAAGAATTTGTTCTTAAAAAACGTGAGATGAACTACCCTGCAGGTGAAAACAACATCCTTGTTTTCACTCAAACAAGCCAAGAAGGTCACCTGTTGCAAGACAAACTAATCGCCACCAACATAAAAGTGCAAATGGATAATCCATGCAACCACATACGATTGCAAGAAGAGATGTCGATGGGTGACGAAGGCATCCATAAAATCATGCCTATCACCACAGATTTGGTCTGTCTGCAAACCAGCTCTCAAATCAAATTCTTGAACCCAAAGACAACACAACTTGCAACAGTTGAATGGCTATATGATGTCCCTCTCAGCAATTGTGAAACAGCATTTGTGTACGTATCATCCTCAAAAACTTACGTTTTCATGGCCCCTATTGCCGATGGAAAAAACATGCAAGGCTGCATTTTTTCTTTTCAAAGTTGTTCAAGTATTCATAGAGGGGAATGGAAAACACTTTGCAATGTATGTCCTCGCCTTGTATCTGATGGAACCTGGTTTGATAGATTCGTGTACTGGCGTATAGACAAACTATCCTCTGAAATAGCAACACCTCAAGAGTTGCTGGTTGTGTTTAACTACCACACTCAACAATTCCAAACCATAAACTGCCCTCCATCTCCAACCTTCTTTAACCCCACTTATCCTTCTCATATGAATCTCCAAGTGAAAATATTGGACTTCCAGGGGACTATGTGTGTAATAGATGAGTACCAGATTACTCAGAATCATCACTGTGAGATGTGGGCATGGGATCCAGATACTTCCACATGGGATTGCATATATGAGACCTATGAATTCTCAAATGTGAACACACACGTTCCACACGGATTACATTTCCGTCATGATTGGCTTTATCCAGTGTTTCTAAGTCACAAATCATCTCCAGCGGGACAGTTCATTGTCAAAGGATACGATAATCGACATTTGCTGTTGTATAGTGTTCCTAC